GACAGGCAGGTCTCTGGGTGTGCTGGAAGCTGCAGGTGCCAGACAGGTGACAGGCAGTACAGACAGGTGACAGGCAGGTCTCTGGGTGTGCTGGAAGCTGCAGGTGCCAGACAGGTGACAGGCAGTACAGACAGGTGACAGGCAGGTCTCTGGGTGTGCTGGAAGCTGCAGGTGCCAGACAGGTGACAGGCAGTACAGACAGACAGGTGACAGGCAGGTCTCTGGGTGTGCTGGAAGCTGCAGGTGCCAGAGAGTTTTCAGGATTGGCTCTTGCCAGTTAGGCTACACTAGGTCCTACTACGTTTGTTACTGTTGACTCCTTTTGTCAAACAACACAATGTGAAGCTGGACAAACGCACACACACACACACACACACTCACACACACACGCACACACACACACACACTCACACACACTTCCCTCACTCCCCTCTTAAGTTTGTTACTGTTGTCTCTGTTTGTCATACAACACAAAGTAAAGCTAGAATCCTTCCTCCCCTCACTGTACCTCAGTGTTAGTCTATGTGCCTTTACGGCTGCATTTGATAGTGTTATGCAGTATATTATGACTATTACAATTATAATTATATATATAATTATATACAATTATATAACCATTTTACAAATTATTTCTGGTTGAGAATTTTATATTTTTACTCATTTGCATTGATTTCCATAATTAAACAAACAAGCTGGTTATTGACATTGGATAATGTAATGAGAATTAAATGTGATTTTGAAAGTTATAATCTATGGTTTATCCTCTGGTCCTGTAGGGCCAGTATCCTCTGGTCATCTATGGCTTGCCGTGCGGTAGCAGAGAGAACAGTCTATGACTTAGGTGACTGGAGTCTTTCACAATTTTTTGGGCCTTCCTCTGACACCGCCTGGTATAGAGGTCATGTACTGGGCCAAACGCACTACCCTCTGTAGCGCCTTACGGTCGGATGCCAAGCAGTTGCCATACTAGACGGTGATGCAACCGGTCAGGATGCTCTTGACGGTGCAGCTGTAGAACTTTTTGAGGATCTGGGGACCCATGCCAAACCTTTTCAGTCTCCTGAGGGGGAAAAGGTGTTGTCGTGCCCTCTTCACGACTGTCTTGGTGTGTTTGGACCATAATAGTTTATTGGTGATGTGGACACCAAGGAACTTGAAACTGTCGATGGGAATGGGGGCGTGTTCGGCCCTCCTTTTCCTGTAGTCCACGATCAGCTCCTTTGTCTTGATCACATTGAGGAAGAGGTTGTTGTCCTGGCACCACACGGCCAGGTCTCTGACCTCCTCCCTATAGTCTGTCTCATCGTTGTCGGTGATCAGGCCTACCACTGCTGTGTCGTTGGAAAACGTAATGATGGTGTTGGAGTATGCTTGGCTACGCAGTCGTGGGCGAACAGGGAGTACAGGAGGGGACTGAGCACACACCCCTGAGGGGCCCCCCGTGTTGAGGATCAGCGTGGCGGATGTGTTGTTGCCTACCCTCACCACCTGGGGGCGGCCCGTCAGGAAGTCCAGGATCCAGTTGCAGAGGGAGGTGTTTAGTCCCATGGTCCTTAGCTTAGTGTTGAGCTTTGAGGGCACTATGGTGTTAATCACTGAGCTGTAGTCAATGAACAGCATTCTCACGTAGGTGTTATTTTTGTCCAGGTGGGAAAGGGCAGTGTGGAGTGCGATTGAGATTGTGCCATCTGTGGGTCTGTTGGGGCGGTATGCGAATTGGAGTGGGTCTAGGGTTTGTAGGGTGGTGGGGTGTAGGGTGGTGGGTGGTCAGGAGGGTTGGTGTGGTCAGGAGGGTTGGTGTGGTCAGGAGGGGTGTGGTCAGGAGGGTTTGTGTGGTCAGGAGGGGGGGAGTGGTCAGGAGGGTGTGGTCAGGAGGGTTTGTGTGGTCAGGAGGGGGGAGTGGTCAGGAGGGGTGTGGTCAGGAGGGTTGGTGTGGTCAGGAGGGGGGAGTGGTGAGGAGGGGTGTGGTCAGGAGGGTTTGTGTGGTCAGGAGGGGGGAGTGGTCAGGAGGGGGGTGGTCAGGAGGGGTGTGGTCAGGAGGGGTGTGTGGTCAGGAGGGGGGTGGTCAAGAGAGGGGGGTGGTCAGGAGGGGTGTGGTCAGGAGGGGTGTGTGGTCAGGAGGGGGGTGGTCAAGAGGGGGGGGGGGGGTGGTCAGGAGGGGGGTGGTCAGGAGGGGTGTGGTCAGGAGGGTGGTGTGGTCAGGAAGGGGGTGGTCAAGAGAGGGGGGTGGTCAGGAGGGGGGTGGTCAGGAGGGGTGTGGTCAGGAGGGGGGGTGTGGTCAGGAGGGGGGTGGTCAAGAAGGGGGGGTTGGTCAGGAGGGGGGTGGTCAGGAGGGTGGTGTGGTCAGGAGGGGGGTGGTCAAGAAGGGGGGGTGGTCAGGAGGGGGGTGGTCAGGAGGGGTGTGGTCAGGAGGGGGGTGTGGTCAGGAGTTGTCCATGCACTCAGCATTTGAATAATCCTGCCCGAAAAGGAAATGTGAATTATAATGAATTTTAAAAAACTGTAGGGGTTGATCCATTTTTCGTTAGGGCAAATCAAGTCTGACATTTTATAGTGGAAATGACAAACTTTAGAATATTTTTTAAACTTTGAATACACTACCAGTTTGTATTTCCTGCAACAAAAGAGTGATCAAATTAAACCTACTCTTATAGGAGGTAGCTTTACACAGAGTAAAGGGTTAAACCTACTCTGATAAGAGGTATCTTTACACAGAGTAAAGGGTTAAACCTACTCTGATAGGAGGTATCTTTACACAGAGTAAAGGGTTAAACCTACTCTGATAAGAGGTATCTTTACACAGAGTAAAGGGTTAAACCTACTCTGATAGGAGGTATCCTTTACACAGAGTAAAGGGTTAAACAGAGTAAAGGGATTTTATGAGGACAAGTTACAGAGTATGTAACAGTCTGAGGTAGCTGAGTAGAGAGGAGAGCTTCAGCCTGTAGCGTGTAGCATGCTGAGTTTGATATGCCTAGGTAGCTGTAGTCTACAGAGTAAAGAGTTAAAATGGAGGGAGAGGAGAGGAGAGGAGAGAGAGAGGGAGAGGAAGGAGAGAGAGGGGGAGAGAGAAGAGCAGGGAGGGGAGGTAGGTGTAGGGGTGGGGGATGTCGTGTGAGGAGGGGAGGGGTTGACGTGGAGGTGAGGGTGTTGGTGTTGCAAGCGTGGTTTATCATCCGCTTTCTTCCTTGCTGATTCTTCTCGCTCGTTTCCGTTCTCTTGTTTCTGAGTGTCTTTCCTTTCGTTTTCTTTGCTTCGCGGTCTCGTCGCCGCTTCGGGTGATTTGGGTAGAGGTACGCGCATGGAGTGACGTTTGTGACTCGAGTGGATTGGCGTTTGAGGGCTGGTAACTGCCTTGTCCCAGATAGTTTCTTTAAAGAACCCCTTTGATTATCATAGGTCCGCCCAGTGGTTATCCAGTTACCAGCCTCTCCTCTACCATTGGCCGATGATCCCTCATTATGCGAGGTAGTGAATCCCCAGGGGCGTGGGGCCGAGCGGAGCTGAAAGAGCTCCTTTGGCAGGCAGAATAGAGCTTTTATTGAGGATTTTTCTAAGCTCACCATCAGGGACCAAAAAAAAAAAACTTGAGCCGAATCACTCTGCTCCCCCCTTTCTTCCTTCACTCGTTTCCCCATTTTTTCTGTAGACGGAGCAGCAGTACAGCGAACGAACGAACGAAGCACCCAGCAGCAAGCAGCAAGGCAAGCAGAATGCAAGGAGTCGATCCCCTTGTCTCAGACAACCAGCACACAAGCAGGGCAACAGAGAGACAGACAGAGAGACGACAAGAGACAGAAAGAGAGACAGAAAGAGAGACAGACAGAAACAGACAACAAGAAGACAGAAAGAGAGACAGACAGAGAGGGACAGAGAGATTGGGAGAAAGACGGAAAACACAGACGATTTAAACGGCTGCTGTTGCTTCATCTGTGGAAAAGGATCCTGTCCCTGTCCTGTCCTGTCCTGCGGCTACCCCAGGTATCCTGCCACCCCTCCTCGTGCCTCCTGATAACCCTCTCCTTCCTTGAGCTGTCCCTTTCACTCCATCCCTGGTTTTTAGAGAGAGAGAGGAGATAGAGGAGAGAGAGAGAGAGTTCTCGGAGTACGGGATCTAAATACGAGCATCGGCTCGCTGGTATCGTCTCCTCTTTCTCTTTAGAGCTCTAGGGAACATAACATTGTCAAAGTGGCATAGTCAAATTTGTATACACAGACTATTTAAAGGGCTGCTGGTTGCTGTAGAAGAAGAGATACTGTCCTGTCCCCTTTTCTGCTGTTCTGCCGAGAGGCTGAGACCATGGTGATGGTGCCCGGAGCTGCCCTGGTACCTGGATCCCTACTACCCTGTCTCTGCACCCTGCTCTGCCTGGATCTGCTGTTTCTCCCCTGGGGCTGGTCGAGCCGTCGGTGCCACTGGAGGACTTCTACCCCTTTGGCCAGGACTGGGGGGATTCCCAGACGATCTCCCAGGACGATGGAGGCTCAGGCCTGGTGGAGATCTCTGTGGCGTTCCCCTTCTTCGGTGACAGGCACTCGGGACTCTACGTGAGTAAAGGAGAGCAGAGCGTGCGACTTATGCAAGAGAATGTGCTCTTTCATTCGTGCAAAACCTGTTGCTTCAAGTGGTATGTGAGAGAATGTGTGTGTGGGGTGTGTGTGTGTATGTGTGGTGTGTGTGTGTGTGTTGTGTTGTGTGTGTTGTGTGGGTGGTGGTGTGTGTGTTTGTGTGTTGTGTTGTGGTGGTGGTGTTTGTGTGGAGTGTGGGGTGTGTGTGTGTTTGTGTTTGTTTTTTTGTTTTATTATGTGATGTATTTTTTTTTTTTTTTTTTTATTTTTTTTTTTTTGTTGTTTTTTTTTGTTTTTTTTTTTTTTTGTTTTTTTTTTTTTGTGTGTTTTTTACCTCAGGGTGTGCTAGTGATATCGTGTCCACCCCCATGGCTGGAATCACAGTCCACCCTGGCTTTCTCATCCTCTACTGGCATCTGCTCTCCTGCACGTCCCAGCCCCTCTCCTGTGCGAGCACACACACACACCACACACTACACATTCCCAAGAACCCCCCCCAAAAACCCCCCAGAAGACCCCCCAAAAGAACCCCCCCCCACCCACACCCCCCCCCCCAAAAAAAAAAAACAAAAAAAAAAAAGGACACCCCCCACACACACATACCCACCCCACACACACACGAAGGAACGGTATCTGTGGGTAATAAGTCCTGTAGAGAGTCTTTTTTTAACATTTTAATCTTATACTATATTTTTTAACCGCTAATAATATAATATTTTAAACGTTGGATTCTCTAGAAACTGTTTTTGTGTTTCATGTTTACTGTTAATGTTGTTGGGTTTTGTTATTGTTGTTTTGTTTCTTGTTTATTTCACTTGCTTTGGCAATGTAAACACACAGAGAGAGAGAGAGAGAGAGAGAGAGAGCGAGAGAGAGAGAGAGAGGAGCGAGAGAGAGAGAGAGAGAGAAGACCGAGGAGAAAGAGAGAGAGGAGAAGAAGAGAGAGAGAGAGAGAGAGCGAGGAGAGAGGAGAAGAGAGAGGAGAAAGAGAGAGAGAGAGAGAGAGAGAGAGAGAGAGAGAGAGAGGTCATTTCTGAGCTTGTCATGTATGGGGTTCAGTTCCAACTCATTGAGAAGCCAAAGCCCCTTTAAATCAACACCACCTGTTGGGGCTGTGCATCAGTCTGCATTCAACCTCCCAATACCCCCTTTCCCCTCTTCTCATCTCTCCAACCCCATCCTCCTTCCCTGCCCTTCCCCTCCAATCCATCTCCATCCTCATCTCCCGCCTCTCCAATCACGGATCCCCATCTCCCCTCCTCTCCTCCCCATCTCCCATCCTCTCCCAATCCCCATCTCCCCTCCTCTCCCAATCCCATCTCCCTCCTCTCCAATCCCATCTCCCCCCTCTCCAATCCCGCATCTCCCTTCCCCTCCCAATCCTCATCTCCCCTCCCTCTCCAATCCTCATCTCCCCTACCCTCCCCCTCCAATCCCCTCTCCATCCTCATCTCCCCTCCTCATCTCCCCTCCCCTCCAATGCCCATTCTCTCCTCCATCCCCATCTCCCCTCCTCTCCAATCCCCCATCTCCCCTCCCCTCCCCTCCAATCCCCATCTCCCCTCCCCTCCAATCCGCCATCTCCCCTCCTCTCCCAACCCCAGCTCCCCTCCCCTCCAATCCCATCTCCCCTCCTCTCATCCCCATCTCCCCTCCCCTCCATCCATCCCCCATCATCCCCCTCTCCCTCTCAATCCCCATCTCCCCTCCCTCCCATCCCCATCTCCCTCCTCGTCCAATCCCCATCTCCCTTCCCCTCCACTCCTCATCTCCCTCCTCTCCAATCCCTCTCCCCCCCCTCCAATCCCCAGCTCCAATCCTCATCTCCCCTCCTCATCTCCCCTCCCCCTCCAATGCCATGCCCATCTCCCTCTCCAATCCCCATCTCCCCTCCTCTCCATCCCCATCTCCCCTCCCTCCCTCTCCAATCCCCATCTCCCCCTCCCCTCCCATCCCCATCTCCCCTCCACTCCCCTCCAATCCCCATCTCCCCTCCTCTCCAATCCCCATCTCCCCTCCTCTTCCATCACACCCAATCTCCCTTCCCCTCCCAATCCTCATCTCCCCTCCTCTCCAACCTCATCTCCCTCCCCTCCAATCCCATCTCCAATCCTCATTCTCCCCTTCCAATCATCTCTCCCCTCCCTCCAATGCCCATCCCTCTCCAATCACCCGTCTCCCCTCCTCTCCAATCCCCACTCGGTCCCCTCCCCCTCCCCCCAATCCCCCATCTCTCCCCTCCCCCCATCCCCATCTCCCCTCTCTCATCCCCCATCTCCCCTCCTCTCCACTCCCAGCTCCCTTCCCCTCCAATTCCTCATCTCCCCTCCTCTCCATCCTCATCTCCCCTCCCCTCCAATCCGCATCTCCATCCTCATCTCCCCTCCTCATCTATCTCCCTCCCCTCCAATGCATATCTCCTCTCCAATCCCCCTCTCTTCCCTCGCTCTCCATCCCCATCTCCCCTCTCCCTCTCCCCTCCCCTCCCCTCCATCCGCCCTCTCCCCTCCCCCCTCCATTCCCCATCTCCCCTCCTCTCCATCCCATCTCCCCTCCCCTCCAATCCCTCCTCTCCCCTCCTCTCCAATCCCCCAGCTCCCCCCCCTCCATCCCCATCTCCCCTCCTCTCCAATCCCCCATCCCCCGCCTCCTCCCATCCCCATCGTCCCTCCTCTTCCATCCCCATCTCCCCTTCCCCTCCAATCCTCATCTCCCCTCCTCTCCAATCCTCATCTCCCCTCCCCTCCAATCCCCATCTCCAATCCTCATCTCCCCTCCTCATCTCCCCTCCCCTCCAATGCCCATCTCCTCTCCAATCCCCATCTCCCCTCCTCTCCAATCCCCATCTCCCCTCCCCTCCCCTCCATCCCCATCTCCCTCCCCTCCAATCCCCATCTCCCCTCCCCTCCCACTCCATCCCCATCTATCTCCCCTCCTCTCCAATCCCATCTCCCCTCCTCTCTCTCCTCCATCCCCATCTCCCTTCCCCTCCCCTCAAATCCTCATCTATACCCTCCTCTCCAATCCTCATCTCCCTCCCTCCAATCCCCCTCTCATCTTCCAATCTCATCTCCCCTCCTCATCTCCCCTCCCCTCCAATTCCCATCTCCTCTCCAAGCCCCATCTCCCTCCTCATCCAATCCCCATCTCCCCCTCCCCTCCCCTCCATCCCCATCTCCCCTCCCCTCCAATCCCCATCTCCCCTCCTCTCCAATCCCATCTCCCCTCCCCTCCAATCCCCATCTCCCCTCCTCTCCAATCCCCATCTCCCCTCCCCTCCAACCCCATCTCCCCTCCCATCTTCCTCCTCCCTCTCCAATCCCCATCTTCCCCTCCCCCCAATCCCCATTCCCCTCCAACCCCATCTCCCCTCCCTCTTCTCCCATCCCCATCTCCCTCGCTCCAATCCCCATCTCCCCTCCTTCTCCGTTCTCCTCCCCCTCCCCCTCCTCTCGCAATCCCCAGCTCCCCTCTCCCCTTCCTCTCCGTTCCCCTCCCTGTGATCCTCCTCTTCATCCCCCTCTCCCCCTCTCCTTCCCCCCCCTTCTCTCTTTTATAACAAGCTGCCAGCCCAGGACATTCGGAGGTACCATGGCAACAATTGGCAAGGTCAAAGGTCAGTGTTCTAACATAAGCCAGTAGCCTCTAGCCAGGTGGAGATTGACGTCATTGTGGAAGGAGGGTGAGGTCAGCGATAGTGACAGAGCGAAACACAAAACAAGGTCAGGAATTACCAAGACTATCCTGACATGACGTGTCCTGCTTAGGTATGCCCCAGTACATATCGTTTTAATTTAGCTCGAGGCATTTGGGCGCGTCGCTCGTGAGGTTAGTGTTCCAATGCAACGACACTGCAGAGCGACACACAGACAGACACAGGGCCAGATATACCTAGACAGGCCATGACATACCAGAGCTGTGCACCCTGCATTATTATGCCTGATGCTATTTTTTCTCATTTTACTTGAGGTATGTGACTCTAGCCTTTTTATTTCCGGTATTATTATAGGAGGCAACAGTCATAGGAGGCATTTGGGTACGTCATTCACATTTAACAACGTCGACGTTAAACCTTTCTGTATGAAATGTCCTGGTGTGTAACTGTACTTTAGGCTGCAATGAACTGTGGCGCATCTGCTATCTTTCAATACTGTGAAAGTCAGAAGTGAATCACTGGACGAGATAAGACAAGTCTGCATGTTGCCGTGCACTCAGATCTCTGATTAGATTATTAGAGGTACGGTCCGCGTCACAAATGGCCCCCTATTCCCTATGTAGTGCACTTATTTTGACCCGGGGCCCCTAAAGGGTGTCATTAGGGACTCACCCACCATAAAGAGGCGGCAGGTAGTTTAGTGGTTAAGAGCGTTGTGCCAGTAACCGAAAGGTCGCTGGTTCTAATCCCCTAGGTGAAAAATCTGTCGATGTGCCCTTGAGCAAGGCACTTAACCCTAATTGCTCCTGTAAGTCGCTCTAGATAAGAGCGTCTGCTAAATGACTAAAATGTAAGGACCACAGAATGAGAGATAGGGGAGAGTGGGGTAAGTTGAGCCTGTGTTTACGTTCAGCGTCACTCCATCAAGGGAAATATAGTATTATTCTAACAAAGATATCTACATATATTTCAGGATGTTGCGTATTCCTGGAAATATTCATGTAAATATTACAGTTTTGAAAACATAGCTTGTCCAAAAAAAAGTGGTCTCTTGGCTCAACTTACCCTGGGTATGGGGTAAATTGAGCTGCGCGACAGGGTAAGTTAACCCGCCTATAAATTTCTGTACTGAATGAAATATTACCTTTTTAAAACCATGTCTATGTTTATGTCCCAAACACAATTCCACACAATTGCTTTTTTGTATTTAAATAATTTGAAGCATCTTGTCATGCCCTGGCTCTGGGGACTCTTAAATGTTGAGCCAGGGTGTGTAGTTTCTATGTTTAGTTTTCTATGTTGAGTGTCTAGATCGTGTGGATCTATGTTGGCCAGGGTGGTTCCCAATCAGAGGCAGCTGTAGTTCGTTGTCTCTGATTGGGGACCATACTTAGGCAGCCGCTTGGCACCAGTCTGTGTGGGATCTTGTTCCGTATAGGTGTGTTATTAGTCTACCTTGGACTTCACGTATCGTTTGTTTGTTGTTTTGTTCGTGTTCAGTACGTTAATAAATATGTATGCTTATCACGCTGCGCCTTTGGTCCGTCTCATCGTGACAGAAGATCCCACCAAATGAGGACCAAGCAGCGTGCCCAGGAAGAGAGAATAGCGATGTCTCAGGTGGGCAAATGGTGGTCATGGGAGGAGATATTCGCGGGGAAAGGGCCATGGGCGAAGGTAAATGCCCAGGCAGGAGAGGAGAAACGGCGCCAACCGTGCCGACGACGGACACCCGAGAGGCAACCCCAATAATTTTTTGGGGGGGGGCACAAGGCGTGGAAGACGAGGTAGCAGGAGGCAGCGACAGGGCGAATCTGCAGACTAGGAGATGAGGACACCAGGTTACGGGGGCTATTGGTCATGAGGGAGCAGGAGTTAGTTGGTCAGAGGGAGGAGCTACAGGAGGCGATAAGGGAGAAGGAGAGTGTAGAGGCACGGTGAGAGGAGCTGGTTAGGCAGCAGAAGGAGCGGAGGTTTATAAGGGAACCCAGTCCCGCTCCTCGCACCAAGCAAGTGGTGTGTGTCTCCAGTCCGGTCCGGCCCGTTCCTGTTCCCCGCACTAAGCCAGTGGTGCGTGTTCCCAGTACGGCCCGACCCATTCCTGCTTCCCGCACAAGGCCAGTGGTGCGTGTTCCCAGTCCAGCCCGGCCTGTTCCTGTCCCTCGCCCCAAGCCAGTGGTGCGCGTCGCCAGCCCGGTCCGGCCTGTTCCTGCCTCTCGCACCAAGCCAGTGGTGCGTGTCGCCAGTCCGGTACAGCCCGTTCCTGCTCCCCGCACCAAGCCAGTGGTGCGCGTCGTCAGCCCGGTCTGGCCCGTTCCTGCTCCCCGCACCAAGCCAGTGGTGCACGTTGTCAGCCCGGTCCGGCCTGTTCCTGCTCCCCGCACCAAGCCAGTGGTGCGCGTCGTCAGCCCGGTCCGGCCCGTTCCTGCTCCCCGCACCAAGCCAGTGGTGCGCGTCGTCAGCCCGGTCCGGCCCGTTCCTGCTCCCCGCACCAAGCCAGTGGTGCGCGTCGTCAGCCCGGTCCGGCCCGTTCCTGCTCCCCGCACCAAGCCAGTGGTGCGTGTGTCCAGTCCGGCACGGCCCGTGCCTGCTCCACTCCGGAGCCAGAGCAGTCCGCTCCACCGGGGTCCGGTCCAACTCCAGTCAGCGGATCCACTCCGGAGCCAGAGCAATCCGCTCCACCGGTGCCCAGTCCAGCTCCGGCCAGCGGCTCCAGTCCGGAGCCTGTACAGTTCGATCCACCGTCGTCGGGTCCAGCTCCAGTCAGCGGTGCCAGACCAGACCAGGGGCGCAACAGGGAGGTGGAGAGAAAGTGGTGGTTACGCCCAGAGCCGGATCCGCCTCCGAGGCGGAATGCCCACCCGGCCCCTACCCTGTTATGTTTATGGGGCGCGGTTGGAGTCCGCACCTTTGGGGGGGGGGTACTGTCACGCCCTGACTCTGGGGACTCTTAAATGTTGAGCCAGGGTGTGTAGTTTCTATGTTTAGTTTTCTATGTTGAGTTTCTAGATCGTGTAGATCTATGTTGGCCAGGGTGGTTCCCAATCAGAGGCAGCTGTAGTTCGTTGTCTCTGATTGGGGAATACTTAGGCAGCCGTTTGGCACCAGTCTGTGTGGGATCTTGTTCCGTATAGGTGTGTTATTAGTCTACCTTGGACTTCACGTATCGTTTGTTTGTTGTTTTGTTCCGTGTTCAGTACGTTAATAAATATGTACGCTTATCACGCTGCACCTTGGTCTGTCTCATCCGTAAACGATCGTGACACATCTTTTAACACAGGGTTACACCTAACTAACACTTTGCCCACTGGATAAAAACTGGTTGAATCAACGTGGAATAGACATTGAATTGATGTATTTACCCAGTGGGTGGGCTCTATTCAATCTGTAAAGCTGAAGCATTACAGATTTCTTGATAGAAATTGAAAGTTATTTTGCGATTGAGCCGACGTCCGCAGCGTTTACCGTGAATGCTTTCTCCGCTAAAGCAGGAACATTGCCTTAAAATTTCAATCAAACTGTAAAACTGAACTTCGGGGATGTGGATTGAATAGAGACCTTAGTACTTTATTTATAAATGTTTTAACAAAGGCCCTGTTGTTACCTCATATTGATAATGCCTTGCATTACGTGTCTGAGAAGAAAACACTTAGATTTGCTCATCTTGCCATTAGCCATTGGCTCAATTTACCCCACGGCCATTGGCTAAACTTAGCTCAAGGCATACATTTTGACTATATTGGCCCACACAGCTACAAGGATTCACTTTTATGTTAGGTTTAGGAGCTCATATTGAAGCTTTTAGAGACCCCAACTGATGTATAGAACAATCTTAAAAGTATCTACTTTGGTTTAGATACAAGCACCATGAAACCTCTAACGCAATCAATTCATTTGAAAATCTACTTTTTTGGACCTAACTTGCTTACAGCTTTTCCCATGTGTTTTCTTTCTTAACAGACTCCATGAAATGATGACCTCCCAGGGGCGAAAGTAGAATACATTTCTTCCTGGTACGGGATTCCCTACATAAAAAAAAAAAAAAAAAAAATGATGGCCCTAATCATAGAATAATCATAGAATTACGTAGAGAATCCTTATTAATTTAATAGGATCTCTGTGGGCCTAGTCATAAAGATTTGTCATTTAACTTTTAAAATGTATTACCTTTTATTGTTGCATAACACAACCAGTGATGATGTTTTCATCTGATTGTCAAACAATCACTTCAAAGGGCTCCTTTACTCGGCTAGCTGTGCACGTTCCTCCACTCGCAACCAAAAAGTGGAGCAACCTTCGCCGATTGTTTATGCCGTCCACTGCTGTCCGAGTGCGTGTTGGTGTTTTAATTATTGTAATGTTTTACCGGTATGGTCTACCACCACTATTTATTTTTCTGTGACGCCATACCGGACAGCCTTACTTTCAGCCTTGCCTCTTCCTAAATATTTGGTCAAATTATTAATTTTGTGTGTGATTTCCCAGAAACGAGGGCTGGCTCATCTTACCCCACTCTCCCCTACTGTGGTTGTAAGAGAAGATATGGAGATATGGTATGATTGCATCTGCGTTATTGAGTGATGTAGTGAGAAGGGAAGACAGGGTTTCACAGGGATTTTTGTATTGTTTTATTTATTTATTTTTACACCCTTTTTCTCCCCAATTTCGTGATATCCAATTGAAACCCTCCCTTAACCCAGCCTGAATTCAAACAACTCTCCCCCACATCTCCTCCCCCCCCACATCTCCTCCCCCACATCCCCTCCCCCACATCCCCTCCCCCACATCCCCTCCCCCACATCCCCTCCACCACATCCCCTCCCCCACATCCCCTCCCCCACATCCCCGTCCCCTACATCCTGTCCCCCACATCCCCTCCCCCACATCCCCTCCCCCACATCCCCTCACAGCACATCCCCTTCCCCACATCCCCTCCCCTACATCCCCCCCCCACCTCCCCTCCACCACATCCCCTCCCACCACATCCCCTCACCCACATCTCCTCCCCCACATCCCCTCCACCACATCCCCTCCCCCACATCCCCTCCACCACATCCCCTCCCACCACATCCCCTCCACCACATCCCCTCCCCCACATCCTGTCCCCCACATCCCCTCCACCACATCTCCTCCCACCACATCCCCTCCCCCACATCCCCTCCCCCAGCACATCCCCTCCCCCCACATCCCCTCCACCACATCCCCTCCCCCACATCCCCTCCCCCACATATATATATACAGTGGGGGAAAAAAGTATTTAGTCAGCCACCAATTGTGCAAGTTCTCCCACTTAAAAAGATGAGAGAGGCCTGTAATTTTCATCATAGGTACACGACAACTATGACAGACAAAATGAGAGAAAAAAAATCCAGAAAATCACATTGTAGGATTTTTAATGAATTTATTTGCAAATTATGGTGGAAAATAAGTATTTGGTCAATAACAAAAGTTTCTCAATACTTTGTTATATACCCTTTGTTGGCAATGATACAGGTGAAACGTTTTCTGTAAGTCTTCACAAGGTTTTCACACACTGTTGCTGGTATTTTGGCCCATTCCTCCATGCAGATCTCCTCTAGAGCAGTGATGTTTTGGGGCTGTCGCTGGGCAACACAGACTTTCAACTCCCTCCAAAGATTTTCTATGGGGTTGAGATCTGGAGACTGGCTAGGCCACTCCAGGATCTTGAAATGCTTCTTACGAAGCCACTCCTTCGTTGCCCGGGCGGTGTGTTTGGGATCATTGTCATGCTGAAAGACCCAGCCACGTTTCATCTTCAATGCCCTTGCTGATGGAAGGAGGTTTTCACTCAAAATCTCACAATACATGGCCCCATTCATTCTTTCCTTTACACGGATCAGTGGTCCTGGTCCCTTTGCAGAAAAACAGCCCCAAAGCATGATGTTTCCACCCCCATGCTTCACAGTAGGTATGGTGTTCTTTGGATGCAACTCAGCATTCTTTGTCCTCCAAACACGACGAGTTGAGTTTTTTACCAAAAAGTTATATTTTGGTTTCATCTGACCATATGACATTCTCCCAATCCTCTTCTGGATCATCCAAATGCACTCTAGCAAACTTCAGACGGGCCTGGACATGTACTGGCTTAAGCAGGGGGACATGTCTGGCACTGCAGGATTTGAGTCCCTAGTGTGTTACTGATGGTAGGCTTTGTTACTTTGGTCCCAGCTCTCTGCAGGTCATTCACTAGGTCCCCCTGTGTGGTTCTGGGGTTTTTGCTCACCGTTCTTGTGATCATTTTGACCCCACGGGGTGAGATCTTGCGTGGAGCCCCAGATCGAGGGAGATTATCAGTGGTCTTGTATGTCTTCCATTTCCTAATAATTGCTCCCACAGTTGATTTCTTCAAACCAAGCTGCTTACCTATTGCAGATTCAGTCTTCCCAGCCTGGTGCAGGTCTACAATTTTGTTTCTGGTGTCCTTTGACAGCTCTTTGGTCTTGGCCATAGTGGAGTTTGGAGTGTGACTGTTTGAGGTGGTGGACAGGTGTCTTTTATACTGATAACAAGTTCAAACAGGTGCCATTAATACAGGTAACGAGTGGAGGACAGAGGAGCCTCTTAAAGAAGACGTTACAGGTCTGTGAGAGCCAGAAATTTTGCTTGTTTGTAGGTGACCAAATACTTATTTTCCACCATAATTTGCAAATAAATTCATTAAAAATCCTACAATGTGATTTTCTGGATTTTTTTTCCTCAATTTGTCTGTCATAGTTGATGTGTACCTATGATGAAAATTACAGGCCTCTCTCATCTTTTTAAGTGGGAGAACATGCACAATTGGTGGCTGACTAAATACTTTTTTCCCCCACTGTATATACATACATCCATACACACACACATATCCTTTTTAAAATTATATTTCCCTTCATTACCCCACCACCCCTTCCCCAATTGAAGTAAACTAGTGAACAACAACGCTTAGCCCTCTACTTCCAGCCCATACATACTATATACATTTTATGGACACAGTCAAATTCTACAATAATTATATATATATATTTTTTACTCCTGAACTTCCTCCGATCATTTTCATGATGTCCATCTGGTTTGCTTCTATATGCCATATTTTTCTAACTGTGCTCTTTCACAAAAGCTCTCAACCTAGAACCTATATACTTATTATGGACACAGTATGCTTTACATTAGTTATCTTCTTGATATTAGTTGTTGTTATTAGTCCCATCCTTCAGCTCCATTCAACACCTCCCATCTATCTCTTAACACCATCCATATTGGATTTCTATTTGCCATATATTTTACAAAAGTTCTGAACCTTTCTATTCTCATTGTTTCTACAGATCATAAATTGAAAATAAACATTTTTGCTAAAAGTATTATTATATTATTGATCGTTTGACTATGACTTTTCAGATCACCCAGTAATGCGATCTGCAAGGTTAGCTCCAGGTAAATATTGCAAGCCATTCCTGGACCTGTGTCCAAAAACAAGTGGACAGTACCAAAACAAATGATCTAATGATTCTGTCTCTTCACAGCAAAAACTGCTATTTTAACATAATAATATTTGATTTGATGTGTATGAAATTGTTTGGTGGAATATACTTAAAGGGAGATTGATTACCCATAATGCTGTAACTTTGGATAGTTGTACTTCTTGTTTTGATCATCATGATTTAGTGACTGCAAAGAAAAGGTATTGATCAACTGGGATTTTTAAAATACAGACTTTCTATTTTGTTTGCTTGGACTCAAGAGATAACTATGGTTGCGTTAATCTTTTTGCAGGCAGTCGTTTTCTTTTGACGAATCTAGTTGCAATTTAGACTGTATAATATAGTTTTGATGAATGTATTCATGTTTTGAGAAGGCAACTACATTTAAAAAAATGCATTTACTGTTTTGCAAACGGCCACAGACTTCTGTGTCTTGTGAAATCTGTTTTTGAAAATCAACAACATTGTTCCATAGAATGCTTGTATGCGTTTGAGAAAAACTTTAAGTGAAATAAAACTGTGTGTGTGTGTGTGTGTGTGTGTGTGTGTGTGTGGTGTGTGTGGTGTGTGTGTGGTGTGTGTGTGTGGTGTGTGTGTATGTGTGTGTGTGGTGTGTGTGGTGTGTGTGTGGTGTGTGTGTGGTGTGTGTGTGTGGTGTGTGTGGTGTGTGTGTGTTTGTGTGTGTGTGTGGGTGTGTGGTGTGTGTGGTGTGTGTGGTGTGTGTGTGGTGTACGTTTATTTTAGTGTAGAAATCACTTGGCTCCAAAGAAAACTACCCAAGGAAAACCCTGAAAATATTGGCAAAGATTGGCAAAATAACATCGGTGGTGGAGTGGCATGGTGAGGGGGCTGAGAGAGAGAGAGAGAGAGAGAGAGAGAGAGAGAGAGAGAGAGAGATAGAGATAGAAGAGAGAGAGAGATCTCTCTCTCTCTCTCTCTGCCTCTCTCTCTCTCTCTCTCTCCTGTCTCTCTCTCTCGACTCTCTCTCTCTCTGCTCGCTCTCCTCTCTCTCTCTCTCTCTCTCTCTCTCACTCTCTCATCTCTCTCGCTGCTTCTCTCCTCTCTCTCTCTCTCTCTCCTCTCGCGCGAGGCTAATACCCTAGTCTGATCCCTCTCCCCCCTTTCGGACTATCGAGACTACTCATTGGAGAGACTATCGAGAGAGAGAGACTTGTAGGAGGCTGGACTGAACTGCTTTACACAACCCCTTTAAGAGGGCTCTAAGCTCCTTCCCTCTCTTACTGACTGCCTGCCTGGTTGACTGACTGAGTAGCTATTACCCAAGCACATCAACATCCGAGAGCATATCCTCAATGAAACAGAAAGGTGTTTCAATGGAGCCCCTATCGTCAGATCCCTTTAGACTAAGATCTCTTTCTCCCCCTACATCTTAACAGAGGTTTTAATCTCAATGTGGCATCCATCTTTAAAAAGTAATACTAACTATGCTATACTAGATTAGAGCCTTACTGGGTTTGCCTTAAACCTCCTTAGAGCTGCGATCATGTCAAATGACACCATTCTATGTTTAATAAAGATACTCAGACTCTGAAGGAAACTTTCAAGGCCGGCTTCAAGGAATACTTCTGGATTTTGAAGGAAGTTAGAGGTAGTTTTGTGAGCCAATGCTAACTAGCGTTAGCGCAATAGATACCCATAGACCTCCAGTCATTGCGCTAGCGCTAGTTAGCAACTTCCTTCATACTGCACACAGAGACATACACATGGTATCCACGAGTTCATCTGACTCTGGGGAAGTAGACAAAAGGGCTTCATTGCCAAAATCCCAAAGTATCCATGTAACCTTTTTCAGATGTTCTCGGGGATCGGATGAGGCGCCTAAACATATTCCAGTTATTGGAAGTATTGATCACTATTTAGTGTTGGCTTGGTTATGGGTGACGTCCTGACCACTGCTACCACTCAACACCACAGCCCTGAGTACTGTGCCCCTGACATCCTGGCCTTTCCTCTGCTCTACTGTACCATGTAAAGGTAGGGTTGGGCTTAGTTTTGTAGAAGTTAGCACCCTGTCTCTGGATCTGCCCCTGCAGGCTGCTGCCTCTCTGTTTCCCCACATCCTCTCTTTCTCTGCCATCCTAGGACCCTCCTCTATGGTACCATAGTATCTCTGCCATCCTAGGACCCTCCTCTATGGTACCATAGTATCTCTGCCATCCTAGGACCCTCCTCTACGGTACCATAGTATCTCTGCCATCCTAGGACCCTCCTCTATGGAACCATAGTATCTCTGCCATCCTAGGACCCTCCTCTATGGTACCATAGTATCTCTGCCTTCCTAGGACCCTCCTCTATGGTACCATAGTATCTCTGCCATCCTAGGACCCTCCTCTACGGTACCATAGTATCTCTGCCATCCTAGGACCCTCCTCTATGGTACCATAGTATCTCTGCCATCCTAGGACCCTCCTCTACGGTACCATAGTATCTCTGCCATCCTAGGACCCTCCTCTATGGTACCATAGTATCTCTGCCATCCTAGGACCCTCCTCTATGGTACCATAGTATCTCTGCCATCCTAGGACCCTCCTCTATGGTACCATAGTATCTCTGCCATCCTAGGACCCTCCTCTATGGTACCATAGTATCTCTGCCATCCTAGGACCCTCCTCTATGGTACCATAGTACTCTGCCATCTAGGACCCTCCTCTATGGTACCATAGTATCTCTGCCATCCTAGGACCCTCCTCTATGGTACCATAGTATCTCTGCCATCCTAGGACCCTCCTCTACGGTACCATAGTATCTCTGCCATCCTAGGACCCTCCTCTACGGTACCATAGTATCTCTGCCATCCTAGGACCCTCCTCTACGGTACCATAGTATCTCTGCCATCCTAGGACCCTCCTCTACGGTACCATAGTATCTCTGCCATCCTAGGACCCTCCTCTATGGTACCATAGTATCTCTGCCATCCTAGGACCCTCCTCTATGGTACCATAGTATCTCTGCCATCCTAGGACCCTCCTCTATGGTACCATAGTATCTCTGCCATCCTAGGACCCTCCTCTACGGTACCATAGCATCGGGTAGCTCTTCCATTCCTTTACCTGCTACAATACCATGATACTGACCCCAGGCCCTGTGCCTCTGCCTCTCTGTTTCCCCCACATTGTCGAACAGCCACGTACTCACCACATCACGCTGATGGCAGAGAGAGGGGAAGGCTGATGGAAGAGAGAGGGGAAGGCTGATGGCAGAGAGAGGGTAAGGCTGATGGCAGAGAAAGGGGAAGGCTGATGGCAGAAAGAGGAGAAGGCTGATGCAGAGATAAAGGAAGGCTGATGCAGAGGGAGGGGTAGGCTGATGGCAGAGAAAGGGGAAGGCTGATGGCAGAGAGAGGGGAAGGCTGATGGCAGAGAGAGGGGAAGGCTGATGGCTGAGAGAGGGAAAGGCTGATGGCAGAGAAAAGGGAAGGCTGATGGCAGAAAGAGGAGAAGGCTGATGGCTGAGAGAGGGAAAGGCTGATGGCAGAGAAAGGGGAAGGCTGATGGCAGAAAGAGGAGAAGGCTGATGCAGAGATAAAGGAAGGCTGATGCAGAGAGAGGGGTAGGCTGATGGCAGAGAGAGGGTAGGCTGATGGTAGAGAGAGCAAAACTTCCTCTGTTGTTTTTACAGCAAAGTACTCCAGATGATGGTTTCATACGCTGCTGCAGTGCTTGAGGAATCAGATGGAACTTCACCTCTGCTAGTCTTGTGCTTGTGTTTGTGCGTTTGTGTGTGTGTGTGTGTGTGTGTGTGTGGTGTGGGGGGGGGGGTGTGTGTGTGTGTGTTGTGTGTTTTACTCTGATGCTGCTTTGTGACCGGCCATCACGTGCTTCCTGCTGGCCAGCCGTGCCAAGTTCACACAGGGTGCATCCCAAATGGCCAGCCGTCCCAAATGGCCAGCCGTCCCAAATGGCCAGCCGTCCCAAATGGCACCCTTTTTACTATATAGTGCACAATCTTTGACCAGGGCAGTGCAGGGGCAGAGACAGAGGCTCCCTCCCTCTCTCCCAAATGGCACCCTATTCTATATACAGTTCATTCGGAAAGTATCCAGACCCCTTCACTTTGTCCACATTTTGTGTTGTTGTTAGATTGATGAGGGGGGGAAAACAGTTTAATAAATTTTAGAATAAGGCTGTAACGTAAAACATTTTGGGAAAAATGAAGGGGGTCTGAATACTTTCTGAAGGCACTGTGTAGTGCACTACTTTTGACCAGGACCCATAGCAACAAAGTAGTGCAGTATGTAGGGGGAAGGGTGCCATTTGGGATGTAGCCATAGAGTGGTGAGGGCCAACGGAGGGAGGCCGGGATTGGCCTCTTGGTTACAGTCGTTACTTTAGTTACTTTAATGTTGGTATGAGCGTGGTGAGGCGTGTGTGTGTGTGTGTGTGTATGTGTGTGTGTGTGTGTGTGTGTGTGTGTGTGTGTGTGTGTGTGTGCGTGTGTGTGTGTGTGTGTGTGTGTGTGTGTGTGTGTGTGTGTGTGTGTGCATGCGGAGTGGAAACACATAACCTGGTTTTCTCAGCTGCCATGCCATCTGAATGAACAAAGACAGTGTGTGTTCCTAACATGAGGAAGTGGATACAGTACGCTCAGGGAGCCCACCCTGCCTTACCCTACCTTACCCTACCTTACCCTGCCCTACCCTACCTCACCCTACCTTACCCTGCCCTACCCTACCCTGCCCTACCCTACCTCACCCTACCTTACCCTTCCCTACCCTACCTCACCCTACCTTACCCTGCCCTACCCTACCCTACCTTACCCTTCCCTACCCTACCTTAACCTACCTTACCCTGCCCTACCCTACCTTACCCTGCCCTACTCTACCTTACCCTGCCCCACTTTACCCTGCTCTGCCCTACTCTACCCTACTCTAACCTACTCTACCCTGCTCTGCCCTACTCTACCCTACTCTACCCTACTCTACCCTGCTCTGTCCTACTCTACCCTGCTCTACCCTGCTCTGCCCTACTCTACCCTGCTCTGCCACACTCTACCCTGCTCTGCCCTACTCTACCCTGCTCTGCCCTAATCTACCCTGCCTGCACTACCTTACCCTTCCCTACTTTACCCTGCTCTGCCCTACTCTACCCTGCTCTAACCTACTCTGCCCTACTCTACCCTGCTCTGCCCTACTCTGCCCTACTCTTCCCTACTTACCCTGTCTGCCTACTCTACCGCCCTCTCTGCCCTACTCCTACTTTACCTGCTCTGCCTACTCTGCCCCCCTACTTTTCCCTACTCTTCCCTCTCCTGCTTTTCCCCTCTACCCTGCTCTGCCCTACTCTATCCCCCCCCTGCTTTACCCTGCTCCCCTACAAAAACCCCGCTCTGCCCTCCTACCCTGCTCTGCCCTACTCTACCCTCTCCCCTGCTCTACCTCCCCTTTCCAAACCCTGCTCTGCCCTACTCTCCCTCTCTACCCTGCCTCCCCCGCTCTAACCCTGCTCTGCCCTACCCCTATCCTGCTCTGCCCTGCTTCCCTGCTCCCCTGCTCTACCCTACCCCCTTCCCCTTTTTACCCTGCTCTGCCCTACCCCCTTACCCTGCTCTACCCTCTCTAACCCTACCTAACCCTGCTCTCCCTCTTAACCCCCTCTCCTGCCTACTACCCTCCTTTTCCCTGCTCTACCTCTCCCCTCTCAAAACTCCTGCTCTACCCCTCCTGCCCTCTCTACCCCTCCCTCCTCTCCCCTTCCTGCTACCCTGCTCACCCTCTCAAAACCCTCCTTTAAACCCCTGCTCTCCCTGCTCTAATCCCTTTGCCCCCCTGCTCTACCGCCTCTACCCTGCTCTCCCTCCTACCCTCTCAAAACCCTGCTCTACCCTGCTCCCCCTACCCTACTCTAACCCTGCTCTACCCCTCCCCTCTCTGCCCTGCTCAAACCCCCTGCCCTGCTCTGCCCTGCTCTAACCCCCCTCTCAAACCTCTCCCCTGCTCTCCCTAACCCCTCCCTGCTCTACCTACTCTCCCCCTTTTAAAACCCTGCTCTCCCTCTTTTCCCTCTCGCCCTGCTCAAACCCTCCCCTGCTCTGCCCCACCCCTGCTCTACCCCTACTCTAACCCTCTCTATCCCTCCTCCCCACCCTTGCTCTAAACCCTACTCTACCCTCCTACCCTCTCCTCCTCCTTTTCCCTCTCTCCCTTTCCTACCCCTGCCTAACCCTCTCTACCTCTCCCTCTCTACCCTCCTCCCTGCCCTACCCTTCTCTAACCCTCTCAAACCCTCTCTCCCCCTACCCTACTCTCCTCAAACCCTCTCCCCTTACCCTCTCTCCTCTCTACCCTACTCTACCCCTCTCCCCTCTCTACCCTGCTCTACCCCTCTACCCTACCCTGCCATACCCCCTAACATCTTTAAAAACCCCAAAAACCCCCAAAAAACTACCCCCCTTCCCTCTTTTCCCTCTCTAACCCCTACCCTGCTCTGCCCTCCCCCCGTCTGCCCTGCTCTACCCTACTCTCTACCCTCTCTAAACCCGCCTCCGCCCTCTCTACCACTCCTATACCCTGCTCCCACCTACCCCTCTACCCCTTAACCCTCTCTACCCTCCTAAACTCTGCCCTAAACCCTGCTCTCCCTACTCTACCCTGCTCAAACCCTCTCTGCCCTACCCCCTGCCCAAAAGCCCTTCTCTACCCTACCCCACCCTCTCTACCCTATTACCCTGCTCTACCCTCCTCCCGTTACCCTCTCCTTCCCAAACCTCTCTACCCTGCTCTCCCTACCTACCCCTAAACCCTGCTCTACAATAACCTCCAACCTGCTCTACCCTGCTCAAACCCTTTCCCTCTCTACCCTGCTCTACCCACTGCCTTACCCTGCTCTCCCTACCTCTCTCCCTATCCCTGCTCTGCCCTCTCTACCCCTCCCCTGCTCTACCCCTCTCTACCCTGCTCTACCCTATCCCCTCTCCAACCCTACTCTACCCCTTTTAAACCCTTTTCTAACCCCCCCCTGTTTCCCTATACCCGCTTCTACCCCTACTCTAACCCTCTCTACCCTGCTCTCCCTCCCTACCTGCTCTAACCCCTCTACCCCTCTCCTCTCTACCCTTACCCTGCTCAACCCTACTCTCCCTGCTCAAACCCTTTTCTCCCTGCTCTACCCTCTCTACCCTCCTACTAACTATTTACCCTCCTTCCCCCTTTTTCCCTCCCTGCTCTACCCTGCTCTCCCTACTCTCCTCCTGCCCTTACCCTGCTCTGTCCCTCTCTACCCTGCTCTACCCTCCCTCTACCCTACTCTCCCTGCTCTACCCTGTCTGCCCTACTAACCTTTTTCCCCTGCTCTATAACCCTGCTCTCCCTACTCTCCCCTTTCTTCCCTTCCTCTCCCTACTCTGCTCCCTACTTTTCCCTACTTTTCCCCTGCTCTCCCTGCTCTTAACCCCTGCCCCCTCTCATCCCTCTGCCCTGCTTTACCCCTCTCTGCCTCCCTCTTAAACTACCCTGCTCTCCCTCTCAAACCCTCTTTTCCCTACTCTCCCCTGCTCTGCCCTGCTCTCCCTCCTCCATACCCTGTCTGCCCTACTCTCCCCTACTTACCCTGCTCTGCCCTCCCAAACCCTGCTCTGGCCCTACTCTAATCCCGCTCTCCCCTGCTCACCCGCTCTCCCTACTCTACCCTACCCCTACCCTGCCTGCCTACCCTCTCTGCCCTATCTTCCCCTGCTCTCCCTCCCTGCTCCCCCCTTTTTCCCTCTCCTACCTAAAACCCTGCCTGCCCTCTTAACCCTGCTCTCCCTACTCAAACCACCCTGCTCTCCCTGCTCTACCATTTTCCCCCTCTCTACCCCTCCCCTTTACCCTGTTTCCCTTGCCCTCTCTCCCTGCTCTACCCTCCCCTGCTTTTCCCTTTCTACCCTCTCCCCCCTTACCTACCCACCCGCCCCTCCTAAAACCCTTACCCGCTCAAACCCTGCTCAAAACCCTCTCTACCCTACTCTAACCCCTCCTACCCTGCTCTCCCTGCTCTCCCTCTCTCCCTCCTACACCCTGCCTACCTCTCAACCCTGCTCTGCCCTCTAACCTTGCTCTGCCCTCTCTCCCTGCTCAAACCCCTCCCTGCTCTCCCTTCTCTACCCGCTCTCCCTATACCCCCTGCCCCCCTCTCTACCCTACTCTAACCCTGCTCTAGCCCTGCCTCCCCCCTTTTGCCCTTCTACCCACTCTACCCTGCTCTGCCCTGCCTCTACCCTCAAACCTACTCACCCTGCTCTAACCCTACTCTGCCCTTTACCCTGCTCTATACCCTACCAAAACCCTGCCTACCCCTCTCGCCCTACTTCTACCCTGCTCTCCCTCCTTTCCCTGCTCTCCCCCTACCCTGCTCTACCCTCTCCCCTACTCTCCCTACCATACCCTCTCTACCCTCTCTCCCCTTTCCAAACCCCCTGTTTCCCCTATTTGCCCCTGCTCTACCCCTCTGCTCCTATAACCCTACCCCCTACTCTACCCTCTCTACCCTACTCTACCTACTCAACCCTGCCAACCCTGCTCTCCCGCTCCCTTTCCTCCTCCCTATACCCTACTCTACCCCTCTAACCCGGGTCTGCCTAACCTGCCTGCCTACCCCTCCAAACCACCCTGCTCTGCCCTGCCTACCTGCTCTAACCCTCCCCTATACCCTGCTCACCCCCGCCCTATACCCTGCCTCTCCCTATCCCCCTGCCTAAAACCCTGCCTCCCTACCATCCCCTGCTCTAACCCTACTCACCCTACTCTAACCCTATTACCTGCTCAAACCCTGCTCTCCCTGCTCTACCCTCCTGCCCTAACCCTCCTTCTGCCCTACTTACCCCCTGCTCTACCCTCTCCCTACTCCCCTGCCAAACCCTGCTCTGCCTACTCTAGCCTCTACCCTCTCTCCTAAACCCTCTCTACCCTCTCATCCCAAAACCCTCTCCCTACTCTACCTCCTACCTCCTACCCTGCTCTAACCCTGCTCTCCACCCTAACCCTGCTCTACCCTACCAAACCCTGCTCTCCCTCTCCGCCCTAACTACCCTGCTCTACCCTGCTCTACCCTGCTCTCCCTGCTCAAAACCTACCTTGCTCAACCCTAAACCCTCTTACCCTGCTCTACCCTTCCTGCCCTCTCTACCCTGCTCTAAACCCTCCCTTTTCCCTCTACCCATCTACCCTACTCTCCTGCCTAACCCTGCTTCCCTGCTCTACCCTGCCTACCACCCGCCTAAAACCCTGCCTCCACTCTACCACCCTGCTCTAACCTGCTCAACCCTACCTACCTCCAAACCCTGCTCTGCCTCCTACCCCTCAAACCCTCTCTACCCTCTCTGCCCTAACCCTGCTCTACCCAAACTCCTGCCCTGCTCGGCCCCCCCCTACTCTAACCTGCTACCCTGGTCTCCCCTACTCACCCCTGCCCCAACCCTACTCACCCTGCTCTACCCTGCTCCCCCCCTTCACCCACCAAACCCTCCTAACCCTGCCTGCCCTGCTCAACCCTACTCTCCCCTTTCCCCTGCTTTTCCCTATCTACCCTGCTCTGCCCTGCTCTACCCTCCTCCCTGCTCTCCCTGCTCTCCCTGCCTCCTATAAAAACTACCCTACTCTACCCTGCTCTCCTGCTCTAAACCCTCTCTAAACCCTCTCTCCCTGTTCCCTGCTCTAAAACCCTCTCTCCCTGCTCAAACCCTCCCTACCCCTCTACCCCCTGCCTCCTGCCCTCTCTCCCTGCTCTCCACTTCCTGCTCTCCCTCTCTCCCTACCCCCGCTCTACCCTGCTCTGCCCTGCTCTACCCTACTCAAACCCTACTCAATACCCTGCTCAAACCCTGCTCAAAACCCTTTGCTCTAACCCTACTCTACCCTGCCTCTACCCTGCTCTACCCCTGCTCTACCCTCCCCTGCCCTATACCCTGCTCTAACCCTGCTCTACCCTACTCTACCCTGCTCTACCCTACTCTACCCTGCTCTGCCCTGCTCTACCCTGCTCTACCCTACTCTACCCTGCTCTACCCTGCTCTACCCTGCTCTACCCTACTCTACCCTACTCTGCCCTATACCCTGCTCTGCCCTACTCTACCCTACTCTACCCTGCTCTACCCTGCTCTACCCTGCTCTGCCCTGCTCTACCCTGCCTGCCCTGCTCTGCCCTACTCTACCCTGCCTCTCTACCCTACTCTGCCCTATAACCTGCTCTGCCCCTAACTCTACCCTACTCTACCCTGCTCTACCCTGCTCTACCCTGCTCTGCCCTGCTCTACCCTGCCTGCCCTGCTCTGCCCTGCTCTACCCTGCCTGCCCTGCTCTGCCCTGCTCTGCCCCTGCCCTGTAGTGTATTGTTATACAGCATCCTCTGCCTGCCAATGAGCCCCTAACCCCCTTCCTTCTTGAGTTTCATAATCTGTTGTAGCTCCTCAATGTTAATAGTGTTTCACGAGAGACTATATTCCATCAAATCATAGCTAGGTTTCCATCCAATTGTCGACAGATTTTCAGAAAATAGCTAATTTTCCCACCAGTGGTGTGTTTCCACCAAATTAACTTTTTCCAGATAAAAATCAGTGTGTAAACATGCGCATCTTCACACCAGTAGCTAGGTTTCCATCCAATTGGCGACATATTTTCATTCAAATATTCTAAAATCTGCTTTAAAAACAATATGTACATTTTCCCACCAGAGATGTTTCCATCACATTGACTTGTTGCAGGTAAAAGGCTGTGCGTGATGATTTAGTGCACATAAAAATTACCTGGGGTTAAATTCCCACGTACCGAATATAAAATACAAGTTAAATGGATTTCCATTGCATTTACAAGTCTACTAATGGTTTTCTCACAAAGAAATGTGTGTTATATAGTGAGTGTGCCCAATCTGGTATTGGCACATGCGTACCAGACAACAGCACGCCGGGAGCCGATTGCGCGCTGTTTGATAGAGCGCACGTATAGTCTACGTGATGAGATGATTATGGTTAAAAGGGCAAGATTATTTGTATTTGTCAAACGGCAGACAAGCGTCAATCATCATGTCACCAGAATAAGACTCTCAATATTTATTGGAAAGGAGCATCAAGCTCATCACAGCGGGGGCTGTGCTTTGGCAGAGTGGGTGGGGTTATATCCTTCCTGTTTGGCCCTGTCCGGGGGTTTCTTCGGATGGGGCCACAGTGTCTCCGGACCGCTCCTGTCTCAGCCTCCAGTATTTATGCTGCAGTAGTTTATGTGTCGGGGGGCTGGGGTTAGTTGGTTATACCTGGAGTACTTCTCCTGTCTTATCCAGTGTCCTGTGTGAATTTAAGTATGCTCTCTCTAATTCTCTCGTTCTCCCTCTTTCTCTCTGAGAACCTGAGCCCTAGGACCATACGTCAGGACTACCGGGCATGATGACACCCTTGCTGTCCCCAGTCCGCCTGGCCTTGCTGCTATTCCAGTTTCAACTGTTTCTGCCTGCGGTTACGAAACCCCTACCTGTCCCAGACCTGCTGTTTTCAACTCTTAATGATCGGCTATGAAAGCCAACTGAGAGACCTGAGCCCTAGGACCATACGTCGGGACTACCGGCCGTGGTGACTCCTTGCTGTCCCCAGTCCGCCTGGCCTTGCTGCTATTCCAGTTTCAACTGTTCTGCCTGCGGTTATGGAACCCCTACCTGTCCCAGACCTGCTGTTTTCAACTCTTAATGATCGGCTATGAAAAGCCAACTGAGATTTTATTCCTGATTATTATTTGACCATGCTTGTCACTTATGAACATTTTTTGAACATCTTGGCATGGTTCTGTTATAATCTTCACCCCGGCACAGCCAGAAGAGGACTGGCCACCCCTCATAGCCTGGTTCCTCTCTAGGTTTCTTCCTAGGTTTTCGCCTTTCTAGGGAGTTTTTCCTAGCCACCGTGCTTCTACACCTGCATTACTAGCTGTTTGGGGTTTTAGGCTGGGTTTCTGTACAGCACTTCGAGATATTAGCTGATGTAAGAAGGGCTATATAAAATAAAATTGATTGATTGATTGATCACCGTGCACTTTCACCACCCTGTGAACTTCATTATAACTTATTTCATCTGTAGACTAATAAACTGCATGGTTTCCCGAGTCGTAGTGGGAGGACCACACACCGTATCATCGCGTGACTCCAATTCACTTCGATATGATGGTTATCATATCAATATTTGTGCATGAAGGCGTTTTCCACCGCCATTTCTCGCGTAATTAATTTTACAGACACAAAAAGATCCCACTATGTCGAAGGAACAAATTGGTATGACTTTACTGGCATTAAAAACTGGAAACGTGGTTACTGTCTACCCTTACCATCTCCTCTCCTTCGCAACAGGTGAACAACAACGGTCTGGTCTCGTTCCTCAGAGAGGTGTCTCAGTTCACACCCGTGGCGTTTCCCATCGCTGGCGACCGGAGGGTTGTGGCGCCGTTCTGGGCTGACGTGGACAACCGGCGGGCCGGGCAGGTCTTCTACCGGGAGAGTAGAGACCCATCCGTCCTTCAGAGGGCCACGGCTGACGTCAAACGATACTTCTCTGAGTTCCCAGAGTTCACTGCAACATGGATCCTCATCTCAACGTGGCACAAAGTCACCTTCTTTGGGGGAAGTGACTTCACACCGGTAGGATTCTCAACATATCAAATGTATTTACTGTGTGTCAACAGTGCTTAACAGTAACTCAGCCTGGGTCTGCAAGACCCAAGCGGTAGTGGGAAGGAAAAACTCCCCAAACTCATTGTTGAATGACAGGGGAGAGAAAGGGTTAAATTTGGCAGACACTCTTAAGAGACGTATGAATATTGTTAATATTCAACATACTGTATGTAACCAGTTGTCCTCTGTGCAGGTGAATACGTTCCAATTGGTGCTGATCACCAACGGAGAGCTATCCTTCACCATCTTCCAGTACCATGACATCACCTGGACCACAGGCATGCACGCCAGCAGTGGAGGGGGACCTGGCAGGGCTAGTGAGTGCATCGCTGCACAGGTAAGATCAGCAGAGACTGGTCCTCAAAAATCCTGGCTTGGTTGGTTGGTTGGTTGTTTGGTTGTTTCGTTGTTGGTTGGTTGGCTTGGTGGTTGGTTGGTTGGATTGGTTTGTTTGGTGGTTAGGGTTGGTTGGGTTTGGTTGGTTTTGGGTTGGGTTTGGGTTTGGTTTGGGGTTGGGTTTGGGTTTGGGTTTTGGTTTGGTTTGGGTTGGGTTGGGGGGGTGGGGGGGGGTTGGTTTGGTTTTTGTTTTGGGTTTGGGTTTGGGTTGGGTTTTGGTTCTTGGTTTTTTGTTGTGTTTTTTTTGGTTTTTTTGGGGTTGGGGGGGGGCGGGGGGGGTTTTGGGCGGGCCCCGGGCCCGGGGGGGGGGGGGGGGACCCCCCTTTCCCCCCCCCCCTTCCCCGGCTCCCTCCGCGCCCCCCCCCCCCTCCCCCCCTCTCTCTGCTCCCTTCCTCCCCTCTCCCCCCTTCCCCCTTTTTCTTTTCCTCTTTTCCCTTAAATCCCCCCCTTTTTCCCATCCTCTCCTCTTTTTTCTTTTTTTCTTTCCCCCCGGTCCCTCCCCCCCCCTCCCGCGCTCTCCCCCTCTCTCCTTCTTTCTCTCCCCCTTTCCTCTTCTTCCTTTTCTCGTTTTTTTTTGCCGCTTTAAAAAACCCCTTTTCCCTTTAAATTTTGTTTTTTCCCCCTCCCCTTTTTCGTTCCCCCCACTTTTTTTATCCTCCCGGAACGGGTAAAGTCCCCAAAACCCCCCCCTTCTCCCCCCTTTTTAAAGGGTCATTTTTCCCTTTTAGGTCTTTAGATTTTTATTTTTCCCCAAAAAATTTTTTTTTAAAAAACCGGGTTTGGGAAAATATTTTAAAAAACGAAGAATAATTTGGGGAACTTTTTAATTTTAAACCTTAAAATAATTCAATGAAAGGGTTCCCCACCCCTTTTAAAAAGTTTTAAGGGCGAAAATTCTTTCCCCAAAAAATCACCCCCCCCTTTCCCCCCGGGGTAAAGGGGGCCAAAAAAGGGGGGTTACCAGGGGGGTCCCGGGTTTTTAAAAATTTCCCCCCAAAAACCCCAGGTTTTTGGATGGCTTTTCCAAATGGGCCCTGGTTTTAAAAAGTTTTTTAAACAAAATTTAACCCCTATTTATTTGGATAGATTTTAAATTTTTTTTTGGGGAATTTCTTTCCCTTTTTGAATTGTGTTTCCCCCTCCTGGGAAGTTTTTTAAAAAGGGGGGCCCGGGAAAAAATTAAAGGGGTTTTTTGGGATTTTTTTTGGGTTTTTAAGGGAAAAAAGTAGGGGGAATTTTTGGGTTGTTTTTTTTTTTCGGTTTTTTTTTTTTAGGTGGTTTTTTGGGCGGTTTTTGTTCATTCATTTGCCCCCAAATTTTTTTTTAAATTTTCATTTTTTCTTTTTTTGAAAAAATGTGTTGGGGGAATTTGGCCCCCTTTTTCAATTAAAAAGGTTTTTTATTTGGCCCCTTTTGGGGCTTTTCAAGGAAAATGATTGGGAAAAAGGGGACTGTTAATTAACCAAACCCAAAACCTCTTGCCTCCCTCCCCCTCCACTTTTTCTACCCTCCCCTTTCCTCACTCCCTAATTTTTTCCTTTCTCTCCTCACTAACTAACTGTTCTACTCTCCTCATTTAACTAACTTTTCCCTACTCCCCTCCTAAATAACTAACTGTTCTACCCTCTCCTCTTCCTAACTAACTGTTCTATCTCTCCTCTTCCCCTAACTAACTGTTCTATTCTCCCCTCACTCCCAAACCTGTTCTATCTCTCCTTTTTCACTAACTAACCTGTTCTATCTCTCCTCCTCACTAACTAATGTTTTTGTTTTTTCTCCCTCACAAACTAACTGTTCAAAACCTCTCCTCCTCACTAACTCCCCGTTTCTTTCCCCTTCACTAACTAACTTTTCAAAACCTCTCCCCTCACTAAAAACTAATTTTCTTTCAATCTTTTCTCCTCACAACTAACTTTTTCTATCCCCTCCCCTAAACTAACTAACTTTTCAAATCCCCTTCCCCTCATAACTAACTGTTCTATCTCTCCTCCTCACTAATTTAACTGTTCATCTTTTCTCCCACTAACTAACTGTTTTTCCCTTTTCCGCCTCACAACCCTAACTTTTTTCTGTTTTTCTCCTCCTCACAAACCCTAACTTTTCTATCTCCCCTCCTCACTTACTAACTGTTTATCTCTCCCTCACTACAACTTTTTCTGTCTTTTCCACCTCACTAACAAACTTTTCTATCCCCCCTCTTCTAACTAACTAACTGTTTTATAGTACTCTCCCTCCTCCTCACTAAACTAACTGTTCTGTCTCTCCTCACTAACTAAAACTGTTCTGTCTCTCCACCTCACTACTCCACTTAAGTTCTATCTCCTCCTCTTCACTAAACTAACTGTTCTATCTCTCCTCTTCACTAACTAACTGTCTGTCTCATCCTCCTCACTAACGAACCGTTCTGTAATCTCACTCCACTAACTAACCTGTATTCTATCTCTCCTCCTCCTCACCTAACCTAACGGTGTTCTAACCCTTCCTCCTCCCCTCCACTAAAACTAACTGTTCTATCTCTCCTACTCACGAACTAACTGTTCTTATATCTCCTCCTCACTAACTACCTGTTATAATCTACCCTCCTCACTAACTAACTGTTCTATCTCTCCTCCTCACTAACTAACTGTTCTATCTCTCCTCCTCACTAACTAACTGTTCTATCTCTCCTCCTCACTAACTACCTGTTATCTCTCCTCCTCACTAACTAACTGTTCTATCTCTCCTCCTCACTAGCTAACTTTTCTGTCTCTCCTCCTCACTAACTAACTGTTCTATCTCTCCTACTCACTAACTAACTGTTCTATCTCTCCTCCTCACTAGCTAACTTTTCTGTCTCTCCTCCTCACTAACTAACTGTCCTATCTCTCCTCACTAACTAACTGTTCTATCTCTCCTCACTAACTAACTGTTATCTCTCCTCCTCACTAACTAACTGTTATCTCTCCTCCTCACTAACTAACTGTTCTGTCTCTCCTCCTCACTAACTAACTGTCCTATCTCCCCTCACTAACTAACTGTTCTCTCCCCTCACTAACTAACTGTTCTATCTCTCATCCTCACTAACTAACTGTTGTATTTTTCCTCACTAACTAACTAACTGTTCTGTCTCTGTTCTATTGTAGAATTGACTGTGTCCAAAAATGTAAAATGTATATAATATGTATAAGATGGAAGTAGAGGCCTAAGCGTTGTTGTTCACTAGTTTACTCCAATTATGGAAGGGGTGGTGGGGTTGGAAAGTAATAAAGGGAAATATATATTTTTAAAGTATATGTACAGTGAGGGAAAAAAGTATTTGATCCCCTGCTGATTTTGTATGTTTGCCCACTGACAAAGACATGATCAGTCTATAATTTTAATGGTAGGTTTATTTGAACAGTGAGAGACAGAATAACAACAACAAAATCCAGAAAAACGCATGTAAAAAATGTTAGAAATTGATTTGCATTTTAATGAGGGAAATAAGTATTTGACCCCTCTGCAAAACATGACTTAGTACTTGGTGGCAAAACCCTTGTTGGCAATCACAGAGGTCAGACGAATCTTGTAGTTGGCCACCAGGTTTGCACACATCTCAGGAGGGATTTTGTCCCACTCCTCTTTGCAGATCTTCTCCAAGTCATTAAGGTTTCGAGGCTGACGTTTGGCAACTCGAACCTTATGATATGATATGATATGCCATTTAGCAGACGCTTTTATCCAAAGCGACTTACAGTCGTGCGTGCATACATTTTTGTGTATGGGTGGTCCCGGGGATCGAACCCACTACCTTGGCGTTACAAGCACCGTGCTCTACCAGCTGAGCTACAGAGGACCACACCTTCAGCTCCCTCGTCAGATTTTCTATGGGATTAAGGTCTGGAGACTGGCTAGGCCACTCCAGGACCTTAATGTGCTGCTTCTTGAGCCACTCCTTTGTTGCCTTGGCCGTGTGTTTTGGGTCATTGTCATGCTGGAATACCCATCCACGACCCATTTTCAATGCCCTGGCTGAGGGAAGGAGGTTCTCACCCAAGATTTGACGGTACATGGCCCCGTCCATCGTCCCTTTGATGCGGTGAAGTTGTCCTGTCCCCTTAGCAGAAAAACACCCCCAAAGCATAATGTTTCCACCTCCATGTTTGACGGTGGGGATGGTGTTCTTGGGGTCATAGGCAGCATTCCTCCTCCTCCAAACACGGCGAGTTGAGTTGATGCCAAAGAGCTCCATTTTGGTCTCATCTGACCACAACACTTTCACCCAGTTCTCCTCTGAATCATTCAGATGTTCATTGGCAAACTTCAGACGGGCCTGTATATGTGCTTTCTTGAGCAGGGGGACATTGCGGGCACTGCAGGATTTCAGTCCTTCACTGCGTAGTGTTACCAATTGTTTTCTTGGTGACTATGGTCCCAGCTGTCTTGAGATCATTGACAAGATCCTCCCGTGTAGTTCTGGGCTGATTCCTCACCGTTCTCATTATCATTGCAACTCCACGAAGTGAGATCTTGCATGGAGCCCCAGGCCGAGGGAGATTGACAGTTATTTTGTGTTTCTTCCATTTGCGAATAATCACACCAACTGTTGTCACCTTCTCACCAAGCTGCTTGGCCATGGTCTTGTAGCCCATTCCAGCCTTGTGTAGGTCTACAATCTTGTCCCTGACATCCTTGGAGAGCTCTTTGGTCTTGGCCATGGTGGAGAGTTTGGAATCTGATTGATTGATTGCTTCTGTGGACAGGTGTCTTTTATACAGGTAACAAATTGAGATTAGGAGCACTACCTTCAAGAGTGTGCTCCTAATCTCAGCTCGTTACCTGTATAAAAGACACCTGGGAGCCAGAAATCTTTCTGATTGAGAGGGGGTCAAATGCTTATTTCACTCATTAAAATGCAAATCAATTTATAACATTTTTGACATGCGTTTTTCTGGATTTTTTTGTTGTTATTCTGTCTCTCACTGTTCAAATAAACCTACCATTAAAATTATAGACTGATCATTTCTTTGTCAGTGGGCAAACGTAAAAAATCAGCAGGGGATCAAATACTTTTTTCCCTCACCGTATATATACAGTGGGGAGAACAAGTATTTGATACACTGCCGATTTTGCAGGTTTTCCTACTTACAAAGCATGTAGAGGTCTGTCATTTTTATCATAGGTACACTTCAACTGTGAGAGACGGAATCTAAAACAAACATCCAGAAAATCACATTGTATGATTTTTAAGTAATTAATTTGCATTTTATTGCATGACATAAGTATTTGATACATCAGAAAAGCAGAACTTAATATTTGGTACAGAAACCTTTGTTTGCAATTACAGAGATCATACGTTTCCTGTAGGTCTTGACCAGGTTTGCACACACTGCAGCAGGGATTTTGGCCCACTCCTCCATACAGACCTTCTCCAGATCCTTCAGGTTTCGGGGCTGTCGCTGGGCAATACAGACTTTCAGCTCCCTCCAAAGATTTTCTATTGGGTTCAGGTCTGGAGACTGGCTAGGCCACTCCAGGACCTTGAGATGCTTCTTACGGAGCCACTCCTTAGTTGCCCTGGCTGTATGTTTCGGGTCGTTGTCATGCTGGAAGACCCAGCCACGACCCATATTCAATGCTCTTACTGAGGGAAGGAGGTTGTTGGCCAAGATCTCGTGATACATGGCCCCATCCATCCTCCCCTCAATACGGTGCAGTCATCCTGTCCCCTTTGCAGAAAAGCATCCCCAAAGAACCTCCATGCTTCACGGTTGGAATAGTGTTCTTGGGGTTGTACTCATCCTTCTTCTTCCTCCAAACACAGCGAGTGGTTTAGACCAAAAAGCTCTATTTTTGTCTCATCAGACCACATGACCTTCTCCCATTCCTCCTCTGGATCATCCAGATGGTCATTGGCAAACTTCAGACGGGCCTGGACATGCGCTGGCTTGACATTACAATGTGATTTTCTGGATTTTTATTTTAGATTCCGTCTCTCACAGTTGAAGTGTACCTATGATAAAAATTACAGACCTCTACATGCTTTGTAAGTAGGAAAACCTGCAAAATCGGCAGTGTATCAAATACTTGTTCTCCCCACTGTATGTATGTACAGTTGAAGTCAGAAGTTTACATACACCTTATCCAAATACATTTAAACTCAGTTTTTCACAATTCCTGACATTTAATCCTAGTAAAAATTCCCTGTCTTAGGTCAGTTAGGATCACCACTTTATTTTAAGAATGTGAAATGTCAGAATAATAGTAGAGAGAATGATTTATTTCAGCTTTTATTTCTTTCATCACATTCCCAGTGGGTCAGAAGTTTACATACACTCAATTAGTATTTGGTAGCATTGCCTTTAAATTGTTTAACTTGGGTCAAACGTTTCGGGTAGCCTTCCACAAGTTTCCCACAATACGTTTTGTGAATTTTGGCCCACTCCTCCTGGCAGAGCTGGTGTAACTGAGTCAGGTTTGTAGGCCTCCTTGCTCGCACACACTTTTTCAGTTCTGCCCACAAATTTTCTATAGGATTGAGGTCAGGGCTTTGTGATGGCCACTCCAATACCTTGACTTTGTTGTCCTTAAGCCATTTTGCCACAACTTTGGAAGTATGCTTGGGGTCATTGTCCATTTGGAAGAACCATTTGCGACCAAGCTTTAATTTCCTGACTGATGTCTTGAGATGTTGCTTCAATATATCCACATAATATTCCTTCCTCATGATGCCATATATTTTGTGCACAAGTGCACCAGTCCCTCCTGCAGCAAAGCACCCCCACAGCATGATGCTGCCACCCCCGTGCTTCACAGTTGGGATGGTGTTCTTCGGCTTGCAAGCGTCCCCCTTTTTCCTCCAAACGTAATGATGGTCATATAGCCAAACAGTTCTATTTTTGTTTCATCAGACCAGAGGACATTTCTCCAAAAAATACGATCTTTGTCCCCATGTGCAGTTGCAAACCGTAGTCTGGCTTTTTTGTGGCGGTTTTGGAGCAGTGGCTTCTTCCTTGCTGAGCGGCCTTTCAGGTTATGTCGATATAGGACTCGTTTTACTGTGGATATAGATACTTTTGTACCTGTTTCCTCCAGCATCTTCACAAGGTCCTTTGATGTTGTTCTGGGATTGATTTGAACTTTTCGCCCAAAGTACGTTCATCTCTAGGAGACAGAACGCGTCTCCTTCCTGAGCGGTATGACGGCTGCGTGGTCCCATGGTGTTTATACTTGCGTACTGTTGTTTGTACAGATGAACGTGGTACCTTCAGGCGTTTGGAAATTGCTCCCAAGGATGAACCAGACTTGTGGAGGTCTACCATTTTTATTCTGAGGTCTTGGCTGATTTCTTTTGATTTTCCATGATGTCAAGCAAAGAGGCACTGAGTTTGAAGGTAGGCCTTGAAATACATCCACAGGTACACCTCCAAAAGACTCAAATGATGTCAATTAGCCTATCAGAAGCTTCTAAAGCCATGACATCATTTTCTGGAATTTTCCAAGCTGTTTAAAGGCACAGTCAACTTAGTGTATGTAAACTTCTGACCCACTGGAATTGTGATACAGTGAATTATAAGTGAAATAATCTGTCTGTAAACAATTGTTGGAAAAATTACTTGTGTCATGCGCAAAGCAGATGTCCTAACCGACTTGCCAAAACTATAGTTTTTTAACAAGACATTTGTGGAGTGGTTGAAAAATGAGTTTTAATGACTCCAACCTAAGTGTATGTAAACTTCCGACTTCAACTGTATATATATATATATATATATATATATATATATATATATATATATATATATATATATATATATATATATATATATATATATATGTATATATATGTATGTGTGTATGTGTATGTATATATATTTGCGAGAGAAAAAAACATGGGGGATTGGAAGTGATGCAGACAATTACATTGATGGAAGTTACAATCTATCTGCAATATTAAAGCTGATCTACCCCAATAAAGCTGATCTACCCCAAATACTGTTCTATCTCCCATTCTCACTAACTAACTGTCTATCTCTCCTCACTAACTAACTGTTCTATCTCTCCTCCTCACTAACTAACTGTTCTATATCTCCTCCTCACTAACTAACTGTTCTATCTCTCCTCACTAACTAACTGTTCTATCTCTCCTCCTCACTAACTAACTGTTCTATCTCCCCTCCTCACTAACTAACTGTTCTATCTCTCCTCCTCACTACTACTAAACCTGTTCTAGCTCTCTCCGCCCACTAACAACTGTTCTACCTCCTTCCTCCTCACAAACTAACTGCTATATCTCTCCCATCCTCACTAAACTACTGGTATATATCTCATCCGTCACAAACTAAGACTGTTCGACTCTCATCACTAACTAACTGTTCTATCTCTCCTCCTCACTAACTAACTGTTCTAATCTCCTCCTCACTAACTAAACTGTTCTATCTCTTCTCCTCACTAAACTAACTGTTTCTGTCTCTCCTCCTCACTAACTAACTGTTCTCATCTCCTCCTACCTCACTAACGAAACGCTATATCTCTCCTCACAGAACTAAACTGTGAATATCTAGCCTCCACACTAACTAACTGTTCTATCTCTCCTCACTAACAACGGTTCTGTCTCTCCTCACTAACTAACCCTTCTATCTCTCCACACTAACTAACTGGTCGGTTCTCTCCTCACTAACTAACCCTTCTATAATCCCACTAACTATACTGTTCTGGTCTCCTCCTGCACTAACTAACCCTTAATTCTCTTCCACAACCCCCTTATATCTCTCCACACTAACTAACTGTTCAGTCTGTCCTCACTAACTAACCCTTCTATCTCTCCACACTAACTAACCCTTCTATCTCTCCACACTAACTAACTGTTCTGTCTCTCCTCCTCACTAACTAACTGTTCTATCTCTCCTCCTCACTAACTAACTGTTCTATCTCTCCTCCTCACTAACTAACTGTTCTATCTCTCCTCACTAACTAACTGTTCTATCTCTCCTCCTCACTAACTAACTGTTCTATCTCTCCTCCTCACTAACTAACTGTTCTATCTCTCCTCACTAACTAACTGTTCTGTCTCTCCTCACTAACTAACCCTTCTATCTCTCCACACTAACTAACTGTTCGGTCTCTCCTCACTAACTAACCCTTCTATCTATCCACACTAACTAACTGTTCGGTCTCTCCTCACTAACTAACCCTTATATCTCTCCACACTAACTAACTGTTCAGTCTGTCCTCACTAACTAACCCTTCTATCTCTCCACACTAACTAACCCTTCTATCTATCCACACTAACTAACTGTTCTGTCTCTCCTCCTCACTAACTAACTGTTCTATCTCTCCTCCTCACTAACTAACTGTTCTATCTCTCCTCACTAACTAACTGTTCTGTCTCTCCTCACTAACTAACCCTTCTATCTCTCCACACTAACTAACTGTTCGGTCTCTCCTCACTAACTAACCCTTCTATCTCTCCACAATAACTAACTGTTCAGTCTGTCCTCACTAACTAACCATTCTATCTCTCCACACTAACTAACCCTTCTATCTCTCCACACTAACTAACTGTTCTATCTCTCCTCACTAACTACCTGTTCTATCTCTCCTCACTAACTAACTGTTCTGTCTCTCCTCCTCACTAACTAACTGTTCTATCTCTCCTCCTCACTAACTACCTGTTCTATCTCTTATCACTAACTACCTGTTCTATCTCTCATCACTAACTACCTGTTCTATCTCTCATCACTAACTACCTGTTCTATCTCTCATCACTAAGTGTTCTATCTCTCCTCCTCCTTATGTCTAATTAACTCTCCTCCACAGCGTCTGTGTGTCCACACCTTCGACCCTGTCTGAATGGAGGTCGCTGTATTGATGACTGCATCACCGGCAACCCTTCTTTCACCTGCTCCTGTCTTGCTGGATTCACCGGACGGTGGTGCCAGATAGGTCAGTCAGTGAACTTTGACCTTTGAATCCAATCACCCCTTGCTTGATCCCAGTCACCCCACTACTCTGCTCAACTCTGCCTGCCTTAAATGTCCCCCCCTGTCCAGAAACAACCCTTAGCCCCTCTCCCTGTGGGCATCTTAGAGGATTTGATAGGTGGAATTTGGGACATATTGCCTACACCTGTCCAATCCTCTCAGATCTCAAGAAGTATTTTAGGGGTTAGTATACGATCTAGGGGATAGGAGCTTAGGGGTTGTTTCAGGACAGGGCCCCACGCCCCGCCTCCTCTCTGCTGTGCTCTCGGGGAAGGGGATAGGTGCTAGGGGTTGATTTGGGATTCTGGGATCATGCTCTGCCAGGAAAGAGAATCAGCTTGTCAAAGCTACGTTCCACCTGACCTGCCAAGTGACAACCTGATAAGATATTTCCTTTAGGGACATCCGCTTGTAATAGCATACCAGGTCACTGCCAGGTCTCTCTGCTCCTCTTGCCAGGTCTCTCTGCTCCTCCTGCCAGGTCTCTCTGCTCCTCTTGCCAGGTCTCTCTGCTCCTCTGCCAGGTCTCTCTGCTCCTCCTGCCAGGTCTCTCTGCTCCTCCTGCCAGGTCTCTCTGCTCCTCCTGCCAGGTCTCTCTGCTCCTCCTGCCAGGTCTCTCTGTACCGCTCCTCTTGTCAGTCTCTCTCTCCCCTGCCAGGTCTCTCTTCTCCTCCTGGCACGGCTCCTCTCCTCCCTGCAGGTCTCTCTGCTCCTCCTGCCAGGTCTCTCTTCTCCTCCTGCCAGGTCTCTCTGCTCCTCCTGCCAGGTCTCTCTGCTCCTCCTGCCAGGTCTCTCTGCTCCTCCTGCCAGGTCTCTCTTCTCCTCCTGCCAGGTCTCTCTGCTCCTCCTGCCAGGTCTCTCTGTAACGCTCCTCTTGCCAGGTCTCTCTGTAATACTCCTCTTGCCAGGTCTCTCTGCTCCTCTTGCCAGGTCTCTCTGCAACGCTTCTCTTGGATAATTCATTACCTTCTACTAAATCAGCCTTGGTTTTTTCTGCCTTGTATGAGTTGACAGTATAGTCACTCTATCCGCCCTCATGTCTCTCTCTCTCGGTTTCTCTCTCTCTTTCTCTCTGTATGTTTCTGTGTGTGTGTGTGTTTCTGTGTGCTTCTGTGTGTGTGTGTGTGTGTGTGTGTGTGTGTGTGTGTGTGTGTGTGTTTCTGTGTGTGTAGATGTAGATGAGTGTTCGTCCGTCCCCTGTCAGAATGGAGGTACCTGCTCAGACCAGGTTAACGGGTTCACCTGCCAGTGTCCACCTGGGTTTACAGGGACAGTCTGCCAAACAGGTACAGCACTCTCTCTACCTTCTTACTCTAACCACCTCTAACCACATAACCATCTAACCACATCTACACCTCTAACCACCTCTAACCACCTCTAACCACCTCTAACCACCTCTAACCATCTAACCACCTCTACCACCTCTAACCACCTAACCATCTAACCACCTCTAACCACCTCTAACCACCTAACCATCTAACCACCTCTAACCACCTCTAACCACCTAACCACATCTACACCTCTAACCACCTCTAACCACCTAACCACATCTACACCTCTACCACCTCTACCATCTAACCACAATACACCTCAACTACCCCCTCTAACCACCTCTACCACCTCTAACCACCTCTAACCTAAACCATCTAACCACCTCTACAAACCTCTACCTACCTCTAAACCATCTATCCACCTCTACAACCTCTACCACCTCTACCACCTAACCAATAACCCCATCTCACCACCCTAACCATCTAACCACCTCTACACAACCGTAACCCCTCTATCACCATCTAACCACCTCTACACCTCTAACCACCTCTAACCACCTAACCACATCTACACCTCTAACCACCTCTAACCATCTAACCACATCTACACCTCTAACCACCTCTAACCACCTCTAACCACCTCTAACCACCTCTAACCACCTCTAACCATCTAACATCTAAACCACCCCTAAAAACAACACCTCTAACCACCATCTAACCATCCTAAACCACCTTCTAAAAAAACACACATCTAACCACCTCTAACCACCTAACCATCTAACCACATCTAACCACCTCTAACCATCTAACCACCTCTACACCTCTAACCACCTCTAACCATCTAACCACCTCTACACAACCTCCTAACACCCTCTAACACACTACCACTCTCCACCTCTAAACCACCCTCTAACCATCTAACCACATCTACACCTCTAATCATCTAACCACATCTACACCTCTAACCACCTCTAACCACCTAACCACATCTACACCTCTAACCACCTCTAATCATCTAACCACCTCTAACCATCTAACCACCTCTAACCATCTAACCACCTCTAACCATCTAACCACCTCTAACCACTAACCACCTCTAACCACCTCTAACCATCTAACCACCTCTACAACCTCTAACCCCTCTAACCCACCTACACATCTACCCCCTAACCACCTCATAAGCATCTAACCACATTCTACAACATACACCTCTAACCATCTCTACAAACAACACTAACCATCTAACCACATCTACACCTCTAACCACCTCTAACCACCTAACCACATCTACACCTCTAACCCTCTAACCACCCCTCTAACCACATCTAACCACCTCTAACCACCTCTAACCACCTTCCTACCACCTTCTAACATCTAAAAACACCTCTAAACCATCTAACCACCTCTAACCATCTACCCACCTCTAACCATCTACCCCACCTCTTAACTCCTACCACTCTAACCACCTAACCACATCTACACCTCTAACCACCTCTAACCATCTAACCACATCTACACCTCTAACCACCTCTAACCATCTAACCACCTCTAACCACATCTACACCTCTAACCACCTCTAACCATCTAACCACCTCTAACCATCTAACCACCTCTAACCACATCTAACCACCTCTACCCACCTCTAACCGTCTAACCACCTCTAACCACCTCTAACCACCTCTAACCATCTAACCACCTCTAACTCTAAACGCATCTAACCACCTCTAACCACATCTAACCACCTCTAACCATCTAACCACCTCTAACCCTCTAACCAACTCTAACCATCGAACCACCTCTAACCATCTAACCATCTAACCACCTTTAACCCTCACCAACTCTAACCCTCTAAACACTTCTAACCATCTAACCACCTCTAACCATCTAACCACCTTGAACCATCTAACCATCTCTAACCATCTAACCATCTAACCACCTCTAACCACCTAACCACCTCTATTCGTTTAACCACCTCTAACATCTAACCACCTCTAACTATCTAACCACCTCTATCCATCTAACCACCTCTAACCATCTAACCAACTCTAACTATCTAACCACCTCTATCCATCTAACCACATCTAACCATCTAACCACCTCTAACCACCTAACCACCTCTAACCATCTAACCACCTCTAACCATCTAACCACATCTAACCATCTAACCACCTCTAACCATCTAACCACATCTAACCATCTAACCACCTCTAACCACTTCTAACCATCTAAACACCTCTAACAATCTAACCACCTCTAACCATCTAACCTACTCTAACCACATCTAAACATCTAACCACCTATATCCATCTAACCACTTCTAACCACCTCTAGCCATCTAACCACCTCTAACCCTCTAACCACCTTAACAACCGTCTAACCACCTCTAACCATCTAACCACCTCTAACCACCTCTAACCACCTCTAACCATCTAACCACCTCTAACCATCTAACCACCTCTATCCATCTAACCACTTCTAACCACCTCTAGCCATCTAACCACCTCTAACCCTCTAACCGTCTAACCACCTCTAACCATCTAACCACCTCTAACCATCTAACCATCTCTAACCATCTAACCATCTAACCACCTCTAACCTCTAACCATCTCTACCATCTCTAACCATCTAACCACCTCTAACCATCTAACCATCTCTAACCATCTAACCACCTCTAACCATCTAACCATCTCTAACCATAGAACCACTTAACCACCCTCTAAACCATCTCTACTTACATCCTAACCACTCAACTAACCATCTAACTAACAGCTCTACTACCCATCTAACCATCTAACCATCCACTCTAACCATCTAACCACATCTAACCACCTCTAACCCTCTAATCACCTCTAACAATCTAACCACTTCTAACCACCTCTAATATCTAACCACTTCTAACCACCTCTAACCACATCTAACCATCTAACCACCTCTAACATCTAACCATCACCATGTATTCCTCCTCCTCCTGCAATACGACACCATTTTATTCCACACTATACTGTTCTTTATCCCATAGTGTCTTGGCTAATTATATGTTAACCTGTTAATGCACAAACTTAAAATGATTTACTTGATCTATTCTATAACTTTGAGCCTTAAGTTCAGCTCCTTTACCATTATGTCCAATTCCTCTTTCCTCTCTGTACTTCTCTGTCCCACTCTCCTGTCCTCTCTGTTCCCCCTCTCTTCTCTCCTCTCTCCTCTGTTCCCCCTCTCTTCTCTCCTCTCTCCTCTGTTCCCCCTCTCTTCTCTCCTCTCTCCTCTGTTCCCCCCTCTCTTCTCTCCTCTCTCCTCTGTTCCCCCTCTCTTCTCTCCTCTCTCCTCTGTTCCCCCTCTCTTCTCTCCTCTCCTCCTTGTCCCTCTCTCTCCTCTGTTCCCCCTCTCTTCTCTCCTCTCCTCCTTGTCCCTCTCTCTCCTCTGTTCCCCCTCTCTTCTCTCCTCTCCTCCTTGTCCCTCTCTCTCCTCTGTTCCCCCTCTCTTCTCTCCTCTCCCCTCTGTTCCCCCTCCTTTCTCCCCTCCCTGCTGCTCCTCCAAGTCTCCCCTCCCCTCCCCTCCCCTCCCCTCCATCTCTGTCCCCCCTCCCCTCTCTCCCTGCCTGCTGCCTCTCTCTGTCCCTGTTCCCAGTCCGGCCTGTGGAGACATATCAAACCTTCTCTAATACCTTTCACAGCCAGCAGCACATATTTGCAGGGTGAGGGGAGTGGCGTGGTGGATACATTAATCAGCTGAGTAAATATCCCGTGTGTGTGTGTCTCTGTGTGTGTGTCTCTCCGTGTGTGTGTGTGTGTGTGTGTGTGTGTGTCTCCCTTTGTATGTGTGTGTGTGTGTGTGTCTGTGTGTGTGTGTGTGACTCTGCCTGCAGACATTGACGAGTGTAAAGACAGACCCTGCCTCAACGGAGCGCTGTGTGTACAAGGTGTCGACAATTTCACCTGCGTGTGTGAGCGGGGCTACACTGGGATTCTGTGTGAGACAGGTGAGTTACCTGGGAGGGTGTCGGGTGTTAGGGTTGGGGTATGGCCATCTCTTTCCCCAGAGGAAACACTCTCTGGTTTCCACATTATAACTCATCAGTCTGGCAGATGTTACTTCCTCCAGAGAGAGTTCCCATGAAGCCAACCTGTGTGGCTTCTAACAGGTTACTGTTTATCTGCGAACACATTGCCATTGGATTTACATCTGGTTGTTCTCTCTGGGGTCACAGACTGTACGGACCTACAGAAGTTCACTGAATTCAGAGCTCTCTTCAAATAGGCAAGTTGGGGAGTGTAGTGACCTGGTTTCCTGGGCTCCCTACCAAATGGCACACTATCCCCTATGTAGTGCACATCCCAGGAAACCAGGTCACTGCATTCCTATGGGCTATAGTCAAAATTAGTAGGGAATAGGGTGCCATTTGAAACTCAGACCCGGTGTAACATCCTGGTCTCTCACTACATGATAGCTTATTGATGAAACAAGAACCCAATGGGGAATTGAACTGTTGTCCTGAACACATTAGATCCTGTACATATTAGATCCTGTATATATCAGATCCTGTATATATTAGATCCTGTACATATTAGATCCTGTATGTATTAGATCCTGTACATATTAGATCCTGTATATATTAGATCCTGTATATATTAGATCCTGTATATATTAGATCCTGTACATATTAGATCCTGTATATATTAGATCCTGTACATATTAGATCCTGTATATATTAGATCCTGTATATATTAGATCATGTACATATTAGATCCTGTATATATTAGATCCTGTATATATTAGATCCTGTACATATTAGATCCTGTATATATTAGATCCTGTACATATTAGATCCTATATGTATTAGATCCTGTATATATTATATCCTGTTTGTATTAGTTCCTGTATGTATTAGATCCTGTACATATTAGATCCTGTACATATTAGATCCTGTATATATTAGATCCTGTACGTATTAGATCCTGTATATGTTATACTGTATATATTATACTCTAAATGTTATACTGTACAGTACTGAATAATACTATATAATACTATATAAAGGGCGGCAGGTAGCTTAGTGGGTAAGAGCGTTGTGCCAGTAACCGAAAGGTCGCTGGTTCTAATCCCCGAGCCGACTAGTAGAAAAATCTGTCGATGTGCCCTTAAGCAAGGCACTTAACCCTAATTGCTCCTGTAAGTCGCTCTGGATAAGAGTGTCTGCTAAATGACTAAAATGTAAATGTAATAATACTATTATGCCCTGCTGTACATTTCATTAACTATTTTTTGTACATGAGAGCAGATTACACCTTAATACCAGACAGCTGGTAGCAGATTACACCTTAATACCAGACAGCTGGTAGCAGATTACACCTTAATACCAGACAGCTGGTAGCAGATTACACCTTAATACCAGACAGCTGGTAGCAGATTACACCTTAATACCAGACAGCTGGTAGCAGATTACACCTTAATACAGACAGCTGGTAGCAGATTACACCTTAATACCAGACAGCTGGCAGCAGATTACACCTTAATACCAGACAGCTGGTAGCAGATTACACCTTAATACCAGACAGCTGGCAGCAGATTACACCTTAATACCAGACAGTTGGTAGCAGATTACACCTTAATACCAGACAGCTGGTAGCAGATTACACCTTAATACCAGACAGCTGGTAGCAGATTACACCTTAATACCCAGACAGCTGGTAGCAGATTACACCTTAATACCAGACAGCTGGTAGCAGATTACACCTTAATACCAGACAGCTGGTAGCAGATTACACCTTAATACCAGACAGCTGGTAGCAGATTACACCTTAATACCAGACAGCTGGTAGAAGATTACACCTTAATACCAGACAGCTGGTAGCAGATTACACCTTAATACCAGACAGCTGGTAGCGGATTACACCTTAATACCAGACAGCTGGTAGCGGATTACACCTTAATACCAGACAGCTGGTAGCGGATTACACCTTAATACCAGACAGCTGGTAGCGGATTACACCTAATACCAGACAGCTGGTTAGCAGATTACACCTTAATACCAGACAGCTGGGTAGCAAGATTACACCTTAATACCAGACAGCTGGTAGCAGGATTACACCTTAATACCAGACAGCTGGTTAGCAGATTACACCTTAATACCAGACAGCTGGTAGCAGATTACACCTTAATACCAGACAGCTGGTAGCAGATTACACCTTAATACCAGACAGCTGGTAGCAGATTACACCTTAATACCAGACAGCTGGTAGCAGATTACACCTTAATACCAGACAGCTGGTAGCGGATTACACCTTAATACCAGACAGCTGGTAGCGGATTACCACCTTAATACCAGACAGCTGGTAGCGGATTACCCCTTAATACCAGACAGCTGGTAGCGGATTACACCTTAATACCAGACAGCTGGTAGCGGATTACACCTTAATACCAGACAGCTGGTAGCAGATTACACCTTAATACCAGACAGCTGGTAGCGGATTACACCTTAATACCAGACAGCTGGTAGCAGATTACACCTTAATACCAGACAGCTGGTAGCAGATTACACCTTAATACCAGACAGCTGGTAGCAGATTACACCTTAATACCAGACAGCTGTAGCGATTACACCTTAATACCAGACAGCTGGTAGCAGATTACACCTTAATACCAGACAGCTGGTAGCAGATTTACACCTTAATACCAGACAGCTGTTTAGCAGATTACACCTTAATACCAGACAGCTGGTAGCAGATTACACCTTAATACCAGACAGCTGGTAGCAGATACACCTTAATACCAGACAGCTGGTAGCAGATTACACCTTATACCAGACAGCTGGTAGCAGATTACACCTTAATACCAATAATACCAGACAGCTGGTAGCAGATTACACCTTAATACCAGACAGCTGGTAGCAGTACACTTAATCCAAAAGCTGTAGCGGATACACCTAATCCAGACAGCTGGTAGCAGATTACACCTTAATACCAGACAGCTGGTAGCAGATTACACCTTAATACCAGACAGCTGGTAGCAGATTACACCTTAATACCAGACAGCTGGTAGCAGATTACACCTTAATACCAGACAGCTGGTAGCAGATTACACCTTAATACCAGACAGCTGGTAGCAGATTACACCTTAATACCAGACAGCGGTAGCAGATTACACCTTAATACAGACAGCTGGTAGCAGATTACACCTTAATACCAGACAGCTGGTAGCAGATTACACTTAATACCAGACAGCTGGTAGCAGATTACACCTTAATACCAGACAGCTGGTAGCAGATTACACCTTAATACCAGACAGCTGGTAGCAGATTACACCTTAATACAACCTGTACACAATACAGACAGCTGGAAGTTTTAAAACCAGACAGCTGATAAGTGAAACAGTGCACCTGCTGAAGATAAATTCCCTGATCCAGCTCTGTGTCAACACACAGACAACAATACACTATGCTGTTCCTCTGTACACAGATGGACAAGAAGGCGTCCTTCAACGTTATATTAATTACTAGCTAGAAAATGTCTCCATTCCAAATCCTATTTACTTTATATTAACTTCCACTGTCCTCCAATAGTTGTGTAATTTCCTCTTCAATTCATGCACCTTGAAGGTAGTGTCAGTGTTCCATTCCTAATTCCATTTCAAATCCCCGCATTGATGACTTAGGCTTGATGTTTTTGTTGTGTTTGTGGATCCATTCCAGACATGGACGAGTGTGTTTCCCAGCCCTGCCTGAATGGAGGACAGTGTAAAGATCGGGTGAATGGTTACGCCTGCACCTGTCCTGTTGCCTTCACCGGGACACACTGTGAGACAGGTGAGCTACTGATAAAACTCTCCTTCTTTAAAGGGAAGTGCTATTCAACAGACTCTGACTGCCTCCCAGATGTCATCTCTATTCTCTATATAATGCACTACCTTTGGGGTGCCATTTCATCCTGACTCTGATTCTGCCAGTGAATGCCAGCTAGAGAGGAGACAAAACACAGGTCCGATGGTTCCTGGTCAAAAGCAGTGCACTGTATAGCGCAGGGGTTCTCAGTGGGGTCTGCGGCCACAAAAAAAATAAAAATAAAAATATATATATATATACAGTGGGGAGAACAAGTATTTGATACACTGCCGATTTTGCAGGTTTTCCTACTTACAAAGCATGTAGAGGTCTGTAATTTTTTATCATAGGTACACTTCAACTGTGAGAGACGGAATCTAAAACAAAAATCCCGAAAATCACATTGTATGATTTTTTTAAATAATTAATTTGCATTTTATTGCATTACATAAGTATTTGATCACCTACCAACCAGTAAGAATTCCGGCTCTCACAGACCTGTTAGTTTTTCTTTAAGAAGCCCTCCTGTTCTCCACTCATTACCTGTATTAACTGCACCTGTTTGAACTCGTTACCTGTATAAAAGACACCTGTCCACACACTCAATCAAACAGACTCCAACCTCTCCACAATGGCCAAGATCAGAGAGCTGTGTAAGGACATCAGGGATAAAATTGTAGACCTGCACAAGGCTGGGATGGGCTATAGGACAATAGGCAAGCAGATTGGTGAGAAGGCAACAACTGTTGGCGCAATTATTAGAAAATGGAAGAAGTTCAAGATGACGGTCAATCACCCTCGGTCTGGGGCTCCATGCAAGATCTCACCTCGTGGGGCATCAATGATCATGAGGAAGGTGAGGGATCAGCCCAGAACTACACGGCAGGACCTGGTCAATGACCTGAAGAGAGCTGGGACCACAGTCTCAAAGAAAACCATTAGTAACACACTATGCAGTCATGGATTAAAATCCTGCAGCGCACGCAAGGTCCCCCTGCTCAAGCCAGCGCATGTCCAGGCCCGTCTGAAGTTTGCCAATGACCATCTGGATGATCCAGAGGAGGAATGGGAGAAGGTCATGTGGTCTGATGAGACAAAAATAGAGCTTTTTGGTCTAAACTCCACTCGCCGTGTTTGGAGGAAGAAGAAGGATGAGTACAACCCCAAGAACACCATCCCAACCGTGAAGCATGGAGGTGGAAACATCATTCTTTGGGGATGCTTTTCTGCAAAGGGGACAGGATGACTGCACCGTATTGAGGGGAGGATGGATGGGGCCATGTATCGCAAGATCTTGGCCAACAACCTCCTTCCCTCAGTAAGAGCATTGAAGATGGGTCGTGGCTGGGTCTTCCAGCATGACAACGACCCGAAACACACAGCCAGGGCAACTAAGGAGTGGCTCCGTAAGAAGCATCTCAAGGTCCTGGAGGGGCCTAGCTAGTCTCCAGACCTGAACCCAATAGAAAATCTTTGGAGGGAGCTGAAAGTCCGTAATGCCCAGTGACAGCCCCGAAACCTGAAGGATCTGGAGAAGGTCTGTATGGAGGAGTGGGCCAAAATCCCTGCTGCAGTGTGTGCAAACCTGGTCAAGACCTAAAGGAAACGTATGATCTCTGTAATTGCAAACAAAGGTTTCTGTACCAAATATTAAATTATGCTTTTCTGATGTATCAAATACTTATGTTATGCAATAAAATGCAAATTAATTACTTAAAAATTATACAATGTGATTTTCTGGATAAAAAAAAAAAATACAGACCTCTACATGCTTTGTAAGTAGGAAAACCTGCAAAATCGACAGTGTATCAAATACTTGTTCTCCCCACTGTATATATATACTTTTTTTTTGTAATTTAGCAGACGCTCTATTATCCAGAGCAACTTACAGTTAGTGAGTCCATACATTTTTTATAGTGCACTACTTTTGACCAGAGCCCATTGACAGTAGTGCACTACTTTTGACCAGAGCCCATTGGCAGTAGTGCACTACATAGGGAATAGGGTGCCATTTGGGACGCACACCTGAGTGTGGCTAGGAGCTCTGTGTTAGAGTGACCTGATGTTTGTTTTGTTTTTTGAGAGGTTTTGCGGCGTCGTCTGTTTTCACAGCCTCAGCATCGGTGTGGTTAGCTAACGGCTGAGAGCTGAGGCCTGGGCCCTGGGCTTCTCCACTATGAGCAACAACACAAAACAGAGAGAAAGGAAGAGCTCCCTTTCTGTAATATTGCTGCAGTGTAGTAGGAGTAGTAGTCTGTGAGACATTTTCTCCTTGCCTGAATAATTATTAGACTCAACACTTTCCGCTAGAAAGCCTCAAGCCTTCGAATTTTCTTTCATAGAGTTGGTGGTGGTCCAGGTGAATTCATCATCGACTCCTCAAACTGAAAATCAAACAGGTAAAAGCTGAGTTATACACACTTGTAGGACATAATACTTTTTATGAGAAGCATGGAATCAGCGCCAAGTCTATTGACAGTGATTGGGAAGACGGAACCACCTCTCTCAGTCACATACAAAAGAGTTGTGGACATGTTGGATGTGATAACTATGCCTCTCTCAAATGAGAGTTCATCATTTCTTAACCTTTTTATTGCAAACCCTTGTTTTCTTACAAAGTACAGTACTTGCCTGTTCCCTACGTGTTTTTTTGCATCACACACTGTATTGCCCTAGCAGCCCTGGCATAGGCATGAACTAAATTAGCTGTTATAAATCTGTGTCCACACGTAATCCTAAACTTATCTCTTTGTCCTCTGTCTGGTAGTGTCTTGTCAGAGGGAGGGCTGTGTGAACCATCAGATCTGTGAATACATCGGCCCAGGGAACTACAGCTGTGCCTGCATCCAGGGCTTCTATGGTGACAACTGTGAAGGTAGACACTGGGCCAAAGCCTCAGCTACAAATGTTGGATCTTTAATTTGACCAGTGTTGTCGTAGCAAAATAAACGTTTAGTCCATAATGTTGCTTGATCGGTGGTTAGACTATTAGCTGGGCATAATTACGCCACATGAAAAGTGCAATACTGTTAATGTAACTGTGTGTCAGTGCGGGTTTTCAGTGAATTTATGTAAATCATAAAGCTCATCTGCACTTCCTGCTGTGCAGGAAAATTCTTAGCAACAATTCTTAGTGATCAAATTAAGATCCTACATCTGTAAGTAGGCAACTCTAGCTGGACAGAGGGCTGTGATGAGAGGAGGGACTAGCTACAGTATATTACATGTAATCCCACAGGTAGTGGACCAGAGTCTGCTCTAGCTGAAGACAGTTGGACAGCTACAGGTATCGTACAGAAGACGGATACAGTGTAGACGAGAGAGAGGGACTAGCTAGCTATGCAGCTACTAGCTATCCTGCTATCCCACAGGAATGTGTTGAGCTGTGCCTGTGAGGAAGGGAGAGTCTGCTCTACTCTGCTGTGATGATTGATGATGTTAATTATCACCACAGACAGTTATCTGAACCGCGCCCTGTTTTACGACGGGATCCTGGGGAACAACAGTCGCTTGATGTTGGGAAGAATTGCTTTATGGCCCGTTTTATTAGTTTACCAACAAGGGGAAGTGCTGCTTCGTCTAGACTTGAATGGACAGGAGCCTCTGTCTTTACGGTCTGGAGCTGATGGTTGGTATTTATTCAGGTCGTTTCATCAGACAAGGCTGGTGTAATATGCCTGGCATCAGAGTGGCGCGATGCAGAGCCCAAATGGCACCCTAGTCCCTACATAGTGCACTACTTTTGCCGAGGGGACTCTGGCTGAGTCCCAAATGGCACCCTAGTCTCTACATAGTGCGCTACTTCTGGTCAAAAGTAATGCACTAAATATGGAACATGGTGCCATTTGGGACGCAGGCTGACTCTGCCTCTGCCACTTGCTCCTCCAAAAGCTCTTTAATAGTATGTGAGGCGTTGCAAATTCACGCTACACCTCACCCTTGAACTGAAATAACTCTCCTAAATAACTTTCCTAGAAGGACTCTCCTAAATCCCCCAAATACTTTCCTGCCTGGAAAAAGGAGCAGGATCCTCGGAGAGAGAGAAGGTAGCAGGAGAGAGAAGGAGAGAGAGAAGGAGAGAAAGAAGGAGAGGAAGGAGAAGAGAGAAAGAAGGGTACGCGGGATAGCGGGGAGCGAGGAAGAGAAGGAAAGAGAGAGAAGGGTAGCAGGAGAGAGAAGGAGAGATAGAAGGAGAGAAAGAAGGAGAGGAAGGAGAGAGAGAAGGTAGCGGGAGAGAGAAGGAGAGAGAGAAGGTAGCAGGAGAGAGAAGGAGAGATAGAAGGAGAGGAAGGAGGAGAGAAGGAGAGAGAGAAGGAGAGAGAGAAGGTAGTGGGAGAGAGAAGGAGGAGAGAAGGAGAGAAAGAAGGAGATGGAAAGGAGAGAGAGAAGGTAGCAGGAGAGAGAAGGGTAGGAGAGAGGAGAGAAGGAGAGAAAGAAGGCGAGGAAGGAGAGAGAGAAGTAGCGGGAGAGGAGAAGAGAGAGGAGAATGGTAGCAGTGAGAGGAGAGAAGGAGAGATAGGAAGCGAGGAAGGAGAGGCGGAGAAGGAGAGAGAGAAGGAGTGGGAGAGAGAATGAGGAGATAGAGGAGGAAGAAGGGAGAGGAAAGGACGAGAGAAAAAGGGAAAAAAGGGAGAATGAGAGAAGGAGGAGAGAGAGGGTAGGGGGAGAGAGAAGGAGAGAAGAGAAGGAGGAGAAAGAAGAGAGAGGAAGGAGAGAGAGAAGTAGAGGGAGAGAAGAAGGAGTGAAGAGAGTAGAAGGTAGCAGGAGAGATATAGCGAGAGAGATGAAGGAGAGAAGAGGAGGGAAGAGAGAGGAGAGAGAAGGAGCGGAGAAGAGGAGCGAGAGAGAGAGAAGGAGGAGAGAGAGAGGTAGCAGGAGAGAGAGGAAGAGGGGAAGAAGGAGAGAAAGAAGGAGAGAAGGAGATGAGAAGGAGCGGGAGAGAGAAGGAGAGAGAGAAGGAGAGAAAGAAGGAGAGGAAGGAGAGAGAGAAGGTAGCGGGAAGAGAGAAAGGGAGAGGGAGAAAAGGGGAGAGAGAGAGAGAGTAGACGGAGAGAGGGGAGAGAAGGGGAGAGAGAGAAGGTTAGCGAGGAGAGAGAAGGAGAGAGAAGGAGAGAGAGAAGGTAGCAGGAGAGAGAAGGAGAGAGAAGGAGAGAGAGAAGGTAGCGGGAGAGAGAAGGTAGCGGGAGAGAGAAGGAGAGAGAGAAGGTAGCGGGAGAGAGAAGGTAGCGGGAGAGAGAAGGAGAGAGAGAAGGTAGCAAGAGAGAGAAGGAGAGAGAGAAGGTAGCGGGTCACGGGACGGGAGGAGAGCCGCCTAATACCATTTTTAAAAACATTTTAGTCATTCAGCAGACGCTCTTATCCAGAGCGACTTACAGTTAGTGCATACATTACTTTTTTTTTTTTTTTTTATTACTCCCGTGGGAAGGGAAGGATCAACCTCCTAGATCAAAGAGAATGTGGCCTTCCAAACACGAACACACACACACACACACTTATACACACACACGCACACACACACTTATACACACACACGCACACACACTGCACACCGACGGCCAATGAAAACCTCTCCATCTAATTAACAGTGCATTAATTGCCCCAGGGGCCATAGCTCCATTTTGTTCACGTTTGCATCCCAAATGGAACCCTATCCACTATATAGCGCACTACGTTTGGCCGGAGCCCATAGGCTAATAGTAGTGCACTATATAGGGAATAGGGTGCCATTTGGGACTCACATCACAAAACTTGTTCCATATCATCAATTATAATTTTGGGTTAAAAAACACTCCAGGCCACTCTTGAACTTGATAGAAATCATGTAGGAATTATAACAGACCTATATATTTTGACAAACAAATCGGTCAAAAAATAATCTGTGCGATGTGGCCCTCGAGCCAAACAGTTTTCCTGGTTTACAGTAAAGACCCAAGAGGGGTTGAGTAAAATGCGGAAGACACATTTCAGTTGAAGGCATTCAGTTGTACAACTGACTAGGTATCCCCCTTTCCTTTCCCCACATGTTGGCCATCTCCCGATACCTCCAATGTTGGACTGAGACTGGGATACTGGTGATGATGCAGCCTAAAGACATGTGTTTGAGAACTACCCTTCGTACTTCTATGCATGCCAGTTTGAGAACTACTTAATACTGTGCACGCCAGTCTCTCTTGGCTGACAGTTGAGGAAAGACTGACTGCGTCACTTCTTGTTTTTATAAGAAACATTCATTAAATGAATTAATTGTTTGCATATTCAACTCACATACAGCACTGAAACACACACGTACCCCACCAGACATGCCACCAGGGGTCTTTTCACAGTCCCCCGGTCCAGAACAAATTCAAGGAAGCGTACAGTATTATACAGAGCCATGAGTGCATGGGACTTCCTTCCGTCTTATATAGCGCCAGTTAACAGCAGACCTGGTTTCAAGAAACAAATAAAGCAACACCTCATGGCACAAGCCTCTCCCCCATGTGACCTACTTGTTGTGTGTATGTACTGACATGTATGTAACTGATAGATGCACACATGTTTTTAAATGTATGTACATTTTAAAGTCATTTATTTTGTCTGTAATGTATTTTTCATTATGTGTCGGACCCCAGTAAGACTAGCTGTCACCATTAGCGTCGGCTAACGGGGATCCTAATGAATCAAATAAAAAACCCTATCAGCCAATATCTAGTGTCCCAGCAGGATGTGTGCTCTTCTGTCAGTGTCTTGAACTTTTTGTGACTTTAGCTCAATTGGTAGAGCACGGCGCTTGTAACGCCAGGGTAGTGGGTTCGATCCCCGGGACCACCCATACGTTAAAATGTATGCACACATGACTGTAAGTCGCTTTGGATAAAAGCGTCTGCTAAATGGCATATTATTATTATTATTATTATTATTATTATTATTATTATTATTATACTTTTGTAAGATAATAAAGGTTTCCTCTTCTTCTGTTTGTCTCGTCAGAAGAGTGTCTGTGCCAGAATGGGGGGGTCTGTGTGGACGGGACCTGTGACTGCACCTCGGGCTTCACCGGACTCTACTGTCAGTTTGGTAATGTATCATATCTATATTAATACACTGTAGGTCCAGTCTCATATTCTACACTGGCCTATCATTGGTAACAGAAAGACGCATTCCTAGTTCATTTCATGGTGTGGATTACACCTTGCTTTCACTGAGCTAGCACATAGCACACAGAACCAGGCTAGTAGGCTGCAAGGTTGCCTTGACATGATGTTTATCTCTCTGACCCTCCTGTCCTCCACAGAGGTGACCCAGACCCCATGCAGCAACAACAGGCCGTGTCCTGACGGAGGACCCTGTCTGGAGTACGGAGGAACCTACCTGTGTACCTGTCAGACAGGTGTGGCAGACGTTGACCACAAGGACTTTTATCCTCCCTATGGTAAGAGCCTACCGTCTTCTTCTGCTGCTTCTGATGCTGTTGCTTCTTCTTCTTCTTCTTCTTCTTCTTCTTCTTCTTCTCTTCTTCTTCTTCTTCTTCTTCTTCTTCTTCTTCTTCTTCTTCTTCTTCCTCTTCTTCTGCCTCTTCTTCTTCTGCCTCTTCTTCTTCTTCTGCCTCTTCTTCTTCTTCTTCTTCTTCTTCTTCTTCTTCTTCTCTTTCTTCTTCTTCTTCTTCTTCTTCTTCTTCTGCCTCTTCTTCTTCTTTCTGCCTCTTCTTCTTCTTCTTTCTTCTTTTTCTTCTTCTTCTTCTCTTCTTCTTCTTATTTCTTCCTCTTCTTCTTCTTCTTCTTCTTCTTCTGCCTCTGTCTCTGTCTCTGCCTCTGCCTCTGTCTCTGTCTCTGCCTCTGCCTCTGTCTCTGTCTCTGTCTCTGTCTCTGCCTCTGCCTCTACCTCTGCTTCTTCTTCTTCTTCTTCTGTACAAACCCAAGGATTGGTCCCTCTGCATTCTGTGTTGCTGTACACGAGAGCCTGGTTACCATAGCGATAAAGACTTGTGTCTTTTGTGTTTCGAGGCGGTTGCCCGATGTGTGTGTGAGAGTCACATTCACTGTTTGGGAGAGAGACATTTAAATAGGATTTATTTTGGTGTTGATGAAGTGTGACTGTGGTAACACGTGTGATGGGTTTAGTTGCTGTATACCTGGATGTTATCATTATCACCGGTGACACTGAGGAAGACCACCTACTGGATGATATCCTTGTCACTGAGGAAGACCATCTAAAAAAACCTTGAAATAGTGCTATCAAGACTGGAGAGCACAGGCCTTGCTTGAAGAATCCAAATGTGTTTTCCTGGCCGCCGAAGTGGAGAACTTGGGGCACAAAGTCACAGCCAACGGGCTTCAACCCCTGGACAGGAAAGTGAGAGCAATCAAAGAGGCCCCAGAACCCAAGGATGTTAGTGAGCTACGGGCCTACCTTGGGATGTTAAACTACTGTGGCCGCTTTCTTCCTGACCTGGCCTCTGTCCTGTCCCCACTGCATCTCCTCCGGAAAGCTGGAGCCAAATGGAAGTGGCACACACCCCAGAAAACAGCTTTCCAGAAATCGAAGGACTTGCTGTCGTCTTCAGCACTGCCTGTGCATTTACGACCCAAAGCGCCCACTCATCATCACAAGTGATGCCTCCCCATACGGGATTGGGGCGGTGTTATCTCAGAAGATTGGGGAACAACACAGAGAGGCTAGTCAGCTTCACGTCTTGCTTGCTGGCACCCTGGGTGAGCTGAAGAAAATACACACATCCACCTTTTCGGGCGACTGCAAAGATGGGCCCTCGTGTTAGCGCAAATAACAATATGAGTTACTGTACAGACTGAGCCACTCCATCGCTAACGGTGATGGTCTCAGCGTCTCTTACACTCCATCGCTAACGCTGATGGACTCAGCGTCTCTTACACTCCATCGCTAACGCTGATGCCCAAAGACCCCAGAAGAACCCCCTGAACTGGGCACCAGAGAGCTCCAATAGACCATCGGCAACTGAAGAGAGGAGACTGTAGGAGACCCTCTTCTCACCAAAGTCAGCAGCTTTGTCCAGGAGAGATGGCCGGCCCACTGTCCTACGGAGGCGTTGCTGCCGTATTTTAAAAGGAGAAACAAACTCTCGGTGGAGGACAGCATCCTGCTTTGGGGGGGCCTTCAAGTAGTGATGTCACCTTTAGTGGAGGAACTCCACAAGTCGCACCCAGGTGTAACCTCCTGAGTGGCGCAGTGGTCTAAGGCACTGCATCGCAGTGCTAGCTGTGCCACTAGAGATCCTGGTTCGAATCCAGGCTCTGCTGTGGCCGGCCGCAACCGGGAGACCAATGGGGCGGCGCACAATTGGCCCAGTGTCGTCCAGGGTAGGGGAGGGAATGGCCGGCAGGGAGGGAGCTCAGTTGGTAGAGCATGGCGTTTGCAACGCCAGGGTTGTGGGTTCGATTCCCATGGGGGGCCAGTATAAAAATTTAAAAAAGAATAATGTATGCACTAACTGTAAGTCGCTCTGGATAAGAGCGTCTGCTAAATGACGTAAATGTATCCAGAATGAAAGCAAAACAACAAGAGCGTACATGTGGTGGCCCAGGATTGGATAAAGCAGTGGAAGAGCAGGTCCAGTCGTGTGCTACTTGCCAGCAGGTACGAAATGCTCCAGCACAAGCTCCCATCAGCCCTTGGGAGTTTCCTGGAAAACCCTGGACTCACATGCACATTGACTAGGCAGGGCCTTTTCCTTGGGGAGATGTTCTCGTTGGCTGTGGATGTTCACTGCAAACGGCTTGAAGTTTTCCCAGTCCGCACTGCAAACTTGAGCATCTCAGGGAGGTGTTCAGTACTCATGGTCTTCTCCAAACACTCGTATCAGACAATGCAGCCATCTTTATGAGTGCGGAGTTCAAGGCCTTTTCTGGTGACCAATGGAATTCGTCATATCACCCCCTGCCACCTACCACCCCTCCACGAATGGCTTGGTGGAGAGCGCAGCCCAGACAATGAAAAGAGCCTTGAAAAAGGCACAGGAGGCACATTGAAAAACAGAGTTATTAGTTAAAAGCCCATCACTCAGGTTACCCCCCCCCCCCCCCCCCCCCGTGTCTGTGTTGTGATAGAATGCGGTCAAGTCGGTGTGTGTGTGTGTGTTGTGATGGAACTCGGTCAAGTCGGTGTGTGTGTGTGTTGTGATGGAACTCGGTCAAGTCGGTGTGTGTTGTGATGGAACTCGGTCAAGTCGGTGTGTGTTGTGATGGAACTCGGTCAAGTCGGTGTGTGGTGGTTGTGATGGAACTCGGTTCAAGTCGGTTTGTGTGTGTGTGTTGTGATGGAACTCGGTCAAGTCGGTGTGTGTGTGTGTGTTGTGATGGAACTCGGTCAAGTCGGTGTGTGTGTGTTGTGATGGAACTCGGTCAAGTCGGTGTGTGTGTGTTGTGATGGAACTCGGTCAAGTCGGTGTGTGTGTGTGTTGTGATGGAACTCGGTCAACGGACTCGGTTTGTGTTGTGATGGAACTCGGTCAAGTCGGTGTGTGTTGTGATGGAACTCGGTCAAGTCGGTGTGTGTTGTGATGGAACTCGGTCAAGTCGGTGTGTGTGTTTTCCAGTACAGCCGCGATCGGTCTGTGATTCGTCTCCGTGTCTGAATGGGGGTTACTGCTATGAGAGGGATGGAGGCTACACCTGCGACTGCAAGCCTGGATACAGAGGGAAGCACTGTGAGAAAGGTAGTATGCCATTATCATTCACCTAATAAGACATAGGAAACAATTAGCCTGTTTGGCTGGGTCAGGGTCCGGGTTGAAGAACCCATTATTCATTATTAATTCTACTGCAATGATTCCCCCCACACTGATTGATTGATGTGAATATGTTCTCTCCTCCCCCCAGTCTGATTGGTTGATGTGAATATGTTCTCTCCTCCCCCCAGTCTGATTGGTTGATGTGAATATGTTCTCTCCTCCCCCAGTCAGACTCAACACCTGTGCCTCTGGTCCGTGTCGTAACGGAGGATCCTGTAAAGAGGAGGCAGGGAGCTTCCACTGTGTCTGTCCATAAGGTTCAACTGGCAAAACATGTGAAGTGGGGGGAGTTGATAAGTTTTAGTTATCTGATATAATAGATGAGATTATAGTATATTATCATATTATACTATATGAGCTATATATAAATATACATAGAAATAATTATATAGATAAATATCATATAATATCTATATATATTTATATATCAGTATACTCATTAATATCTCTATTCATTCTTATCTACTATTCTATCATTCTATTATCTCTCTCTTTCGTACCTCTCTATCTATCTATCTCAGCTTTCTATTTCTTCTCTCTCTTCTCTCTTATAATCTCTTCTCTTCTTCTTATCTATCTCTTCTTTCTCTCTCTCTCTCTTTCTCTCTTCTCTCTTCTTCTCTCTCTTCCCTCCTCTCTCTCTTATCTCTCTCTATCTCTCTCTTTCTCTCTGTCCCTCAGTATCAATCTCTTTCTCTAATGCACGCACGCACGCACGCACGCACGCGCACACACACACACACACATAACATTATGGTTAATGTAAAATTTGCTCATATTCATGTTTTAGTAGGCCTGTACTGTCATAAAACATCCTCTTTGGGTTTTCTTTCTTTCGAACTGTGTCCCAACATCGCTTTCGCGCAACTGCTTGCACAATGCTACAGCATGCTGGAGTGGAGTCCGCATTGACATGTCATACCCTGTACTAGTTTATTAGATGACAAGCAATATCTGTTTGAATTACTCAAATGTTTGTTGATGGAAGCTTTATGTTTAGTTGATGAACTTGATGGTGTATGTCAATTATTGTATTGGATTTGTTGGTGTGTGTGTGTGTGTGTGTGTGTGTGTGTGTGTGTGGGTGTGTGTGTGTGTGTGTGTGTGTGTTGTGTGTTTGTGGGTGTGTGTATGTGTGTGTGTGTTGTGGTGTGTGTGTGTGTGTGTTGTGTGTGTGTGTGTGTGTGTGTGTGTGTGTGTGTGTGTGTGTGTGTGTGTGTGTGTGTGTGTGTGTGTGTTGTTTTGTTGTGTGTTGTTGTTGTGTCGTTGTTGTGTGTTGTGTGTTGTGTGTTGTGTTGGTTGTGTTGTCGTGTGTTGTGGTGTGTGTGTGTGTGTGTTGTGTGTGTGTGTGTGTGTGGTGTGGTGTGTTGTGTCTGTCTGTCGTCTGTTGTGTGTTGGTTGTTGTCTGTGTGCTGTGTTGTCTGTTGTTGTTGTCTGTGTGTCGTGTGTCTGTTGTTGTCGGTGTGTGTGTGTTGTGTTGTCTGTTCTGTCTGTTGTCTGTTGTCTGTGTGTGTGTTGGTATGTTGTGTCTGTCTGTCTGTCTGTGTGTTGTTGTGTGTGTTGTGTGTCTGGTGTGTCTGTTGTCTGTCTGTCTGTCTGTCTGTCTGTTGTCTGTCTGTTGTCTGTCTGTCTGTCGTTCTGTCTGTCTGTCTGTCGGTCTGTCTGTCTGTCTGTCTGTCTGTCTGTCTCTGTTGTCGGTCTGTTCAGCTGTTGTTGTTCTGTATGTCTGTCTGTTCTGTCTGCTGTTTCTGTTCTTTTGTGTGTGTGTGTGGTGTTGTTGTGTGTCTGTGTCTTGTGTCGGTGTGTCTGGGTGTGTGTGTGTGTGTGGTGTCTCTGTGTGTGTCTGTGTGTCTGTGTGTGTGTCTGTGTGTGTGTTCTGTGTTGTTCCCCGGGAGGCCAGACCCTATGCTCCTCCAGATCCCCTGTTTTGCACGGGGGGAAACCCTGGTTTCCACTACATTGGGATTATTTAGTAACAAGTGTGGCGTGTTCTGGGGGCCTCCTCAGCGGGAAGAACACTGTGACATCAGCAGGGGATCAGCACAACTCCACACGCAGGTCAGAAACACACAACCACACACACACAGACCACACACACACACACACACACACACACACACACACACACACACACACACACACACGTGCACGTTAAAGCAGTCTATTTTGTGGGTTCACTAGCACCCTGAGACATGGCTTTAGACAATGGGGTCAAGATTTCACTGGGAAGAAAGAAGTGATAATCCCTCACTCACTCAGCCGATATTTAAACAGCTCTCTATCATTGTAAGATAATCATAGCATTGCCAAAGCCACATGGACTACATATGTAACGTGAAGTAAAGACGTGTTAAACCCTGAAACCCTGAAGTGTTTCTGCTGACTGGGGGGGACAGGGCACGGCTACATCTGGACAGACAAACGCACATCTCTGTTACTATGACTGTGCCATTGTAGTGCAGGGTAGATCACATCTCTGTTACTATGACTGTGCCATTGTAGTGCAGGGTAGATCACATCTCTGTTACTATGACTGTGCCATTGTAGTGCAGGGTAGATCACATCTCTGTTACTATGACTGTGCCATTGTAGTGCAGGGTAGGTCGTCCTCTTATTGAGACTGTTGCTGTAGTGTAAATGGTTGACCTTGGCACTGTTTCATTCTGAGAGTTCATTCTATTGTTGTTGTTGTTGTTGTTGTTATTGTTGTTGTTGTGTGTCTACGTTCCAGATATGGACTGTGTTGTAACTGTGCGTCTATTGTAGCTGTGTAACTGTTATTCTGTGCCGTTGCTGTAACTGTGCCGTTGCTGTAACTGTGTCGTTGCTGTAACTGTGTCGTTGCTGTAACTGTGTCGTTGCTGTAACTGTGCCGTTGCTGTAACTGTGCCGTTGCTGTAACTGTGCCGTTGCTGTAACTGTGTCGTTGCTGTAACTGTGCCGTTGCTGTAACTGTGCCGTTGCTGTAACTCTGCCGTTGCTGTAACTGTGTCGTTGCTGTAACTGTGTCGTTGCTGTAACTGTGTCGTTGCTGTAACTGTGCCGTTGCTGTAACTGTGCCGTTGCTGTAACTGTGCCGTTGCTGTAACTGTGTGGTTACGTATCTATGTCTTCCAGACCTGGACTGTGGTCCCCCCCTGCAGGTGAAGCATGCAGAGCTCCAGTTCTCCTCTACGTCTCCAGGCTCCATGGCGCTGTACGTGTGCCACCCAGGATACACCCCCATGCCCAGGGCCACCCAGAGCATCTGTGGGGGGCAGGGCGCCTGGAGCCAACCCCCTGTCTGTCAGGGTCTGTATACAGTAATACACCACATGGCACCAAGTGTGTGTGTGTGTGTGTGTGTGTGTGTGTGTGTGTGTGTGTGTGTGTGTGTGTGTGTGTGTGTGTGTGTGTGTGTGTGTGTGTGTGTGTGTGGTCTAATGGGTTCTTCATAGGTATTTACTGTAACTATTCGGGGGGTTTCTAAACAGCACAGTCAGTCAGTTACTTGGTGGTCTCAGCAGAGAGCTGAATGGTAATGGAAGATATTGCATTGGCAGAGAAAGACAGATTTAATTAGGACAGTTTCACTGTCAATCATCTTTTAGAAGGAAATCTAAGCTGTGTCCCAAATTACACCCTATTCACTATATTTTATTTTATTAATTTAACCTTTATTTAACTAGGCAAGTCAGTTAAGAACAAATTCTTATTTACAATGACGGCCTACCCCGGCCAAACCTGGACGACGCTGGGCCAATAGTGCACTACTTTACATACATAGATAGATGGAGCCGACAGACATGGCAGCTCTGCTTCTAGCTCCTAAGCAACATCGCAGTATATTTATTTTTTTTAGTGTTATTTCTTACATTATTAGCCCGGAAGGTTTTTTGTGTTATTACATACAGCATTACGAACAGGAATACGACTTTCCCGAATTGGATCCTTTGTTCGTACCACCCAGGACAGTTGAAATTATCCCAGAGGCTGCTCCAAGACGCCGCCGCCGGTGGAGAAGAGGTATTCGGAGTGGACTTCTAGTCCGACTCAGGAGGCGTGCACACCATCCACAGCTTCGGAGTATATTACTCGCTAATGTTCAGTTTCTGGACAATAAAGTAGACAAGCTCAGGGCGAGGATCTCCTTCCAGAGAGAAATCAGGGACTGTAACATACTCTGTTTCGGAATCATGGCTCTCTCGGGATATACCTTCTCCGTCCACTCAGCCAGCTGGGTTCTCAGTTCATTGCGCAGACAGGAATAAAGAACTCTCCGGGAAGAAGAAAGTTGGGGGTGTATGTTTCATGATTTAACTATTCATGGTGTGATTGTGATAACATACAGAAATTCAAGTCCTTTTGTTCACCCAACCTAGAATACCTCACAATCAAATGCAGACCATATTACCTCTCGAGAGAATTCTCTTCGGTTATACACTACCAGTCAACAGTTTGGACACACCTACTCATTCAAGGGGTTTTCTTTATTTTTACATTGTAGAATAATAGTGAAGACATCAAAACTATGAAATAACACATATGGAATCATGTAGTAACCAAAAAAGTGTGAAACAAATCAAAATGTATTTGAGATTCTTCAAATAGCCACCCTTTGCCTTGATGACAGCTTTCACACTCTTGGCATTCTCTCAACCAGCTTCATGAGGTAGTCACCTGGAATGCATTTCAATTAACAGGTGTGCCTTCTTAAAAGTTCATTTGTGGAATTTCTTTCCTTCTTAATGCAGAAGATAGCCCTATTTGGTAAAAGACCAAGTCCATATTATGGCAAGAACAGCTCAAATAAGCAAAGAGAAATGACAGTCCATCATTACTTTAAGACATGAAGGTCAGTCAATACGGAACATTTCAAGAACTTTGAAAGTTTCTTCAAGTGCAGTCGCAAAACCCATCATGCGCTATAATGAAACTGGCTCTCATGAGGACCGCCACAGGAATGGAAGACCCAGAGTTACCTCTGCTGCAGAGGATAAGTTCATTAGAGTTAGCAGCCTCAGAAATTGCAGCCCAAATAAATGCTTCACAGAGTTCAAGTCACAGACACATCTCAACATCAACTGTTCAGAGGGGACTGTGTGAATCAGGCCTTCATGGTCGAATTGCTGCAAAGAAACCACTACTAAAGGACACCAATAATAAGAAGAGACCTGCTTGGGCCAAGAAACACGATCAATGGACATTAGACCAGTGGAAATTTGTCCTTTGGTCTGGAGTCCAAATTTGAGATTTTTGGTTCCAACCGCCGTGTCTGTGTGAGAAGCGGTGTGGGTGAACGGATGATCTCTGCATGTATATTTCCGACCGTAAAGCATGGAGGAGGAGGTGTTATAGTGTGGGGGTGCTTTGCTGGTGACACTGCCTGTGATTTATTTAGAATTCAAGGCACACTTAACCAGCATGGCTACCACAGCATTCTGCAGTGAAATGCCATCCCATCTGGTTTGCGCTTAGTGGGACTATCATTTGTTTTTCAACAGGACAATGACCCAACACACCTCCAGGCTGTGTAAGGGCTATTTTACCAAGAAGGAGAGTGATGGAGTGTTGCATCAGATGACCTGGCCTCCACAATCCCAAGACCTCAACCCAATTGAGATGGTTTGGGATGAGTCGGACGGCGGAGTGAAGGGAAAGTAGCCAACAAGTGCTCAGCAAGTGTGGGAACTCCTTCAAGACTGTTGGAAAAGCATTCCTCATGAAGCTGGTTGAAAGAATGCCAAGAGTGTGAAAGCTGTCATCAAGGCAAAGGGTGGCTATTTGAAGAATCTCAAATCTCAAATATATTTGTTGATTTGTTTAACACTTTTTTTGGTTACTACATGATTCCATATGTGTTATTTCATAGTTTTGATGTCTTCACTATTTTTCTACAATGTAGAAAATAGTAAAAATAAAGAAAAGCCCTTGAATGAGTAGGTGTGTCCAAACTTTTGACTGGTACTGTAGTCACAGCGGTGTATATTCCCCCTCAAGGAACTACGCTGGACTTTATTTTATGCTGAGGCCGCATTTATTGTAGCTGGGGATTTTAACAAAGCAAATTTGAGGAAAACGCTACCGAAGTTCTATCAACACATTGCCTGTAGCACTCGCTCTGAGAAAACATTAGACCACTGCTACTCAGCTTTTTCTAAATGCCTACAAGGCCCTCCCCCGCCATCTCTTCAGCAAATCAGATCACGACTCCATTTTGCTCCTCCCTTCCTATAGGAAGAAACTCAAACAGGAAGTACCCATGCTAAGGTCTATTCAACACTGGTCTGACCAATCGGAATCCATGCTTCAAAATTGTTTTGATCACGCGGACTCTGAGTCACCTTGCCATTTAACCATGGCAAGGTGACTGGGAATATGGTTGAATACAAACAGTGTAGTTATTCCCTCCATAAGGCAACATGAGTAAGACATTTAAGCGTGTTAACCCTCGCAACGCTGCTGGCCCAGACGGCATTCCTAGCCTCAGAGAATGCGTAGACCAGCTGGCTGGAGTGTTTACGGACATATTTAATCTCTCCCTATCCCAGTCTGCTGTCCCCACTTGCTTCAAGATGTCCACCATTGTTCCTGTACTCAAGAAAGCAAAGGTAACTGAACTAAATGACTATCGCCCCGTAGCACTCACTTCTGTCATCATGAAGTGCTTTGAGAGGCTAGTTAAGGATCATATCACCTCTACCTTACCTGACCATGACCCACTTCAATTTGCTTACCGCCCCAATAGATCCACAGACATTGCAATCGCCATCGCACTGGACACTGCCCTATCCCATCTGGACAAGGGGAATACCTACGTCAGAATGCTGTTCATTGACTATATTTCAGCCTTCAACACCATAGTACCGTCCAAGCTCATCATTAAGCTAGGGGCCCTGGATCTGAACCCCGCCCTGTGCAACTGGGTCATGGACTTCCTGACGGGCCGCCCCCAGGTGGTGAAGGTAGGAAACAACACCTCCACTTCGCTGATCCTCAACACTGGGGCCCCACAAGGGTGCATGCTCAGCCCCTTCCTGTACTCCCTGTTCACCCATGACTGAGTGGCCAAGCACGCCTCCAACTCAATCATCAAGTTTGCAGACGACACAACAGAAGTAGGCCTGATAACCAACAATGACGAGACCGCCTACAGGAGGAGGTGAGGGCTCTGGGAGTGTGGTGCCAGGAAAATAACCTCTCACTCAACGTCAACAAAACAAAGGTGCTGATCGTGGACTTCAGGAAACAGCAGAGGGAGCACGCCCCTATCCACATCGACGGGACCGCAGTGGAGAAGGTGGAAAGCTTCAAGTTCCTCTGCGTACACATCACTGACAAACTGAAATGTTCCACCCACACAGACAGTGTGGTGAAGAAGCCGCAACACCACATTCGTCTTGGCCCCTAAGACACTCAGAACCTTTTACAGATGAACAATTGAGAGCATCCTGTCGGGCTGTATCACCGCCTGGTACGGCAACTGCACCGCCCGCAACCGCAGGGCTCTCCAGAGGGTGGTACGGTCTGCCCAACGCATCACCGGGGGCAAACTGCCTGCTCTCCAGGACACCTACAGCACCCACCCGATGTCACAGGAAGGCCAAAAAGATCACCAAGGACATCAACCACCCGAGCCACAGCCTGTTCACCCCGTTATCATCCAGAACGCAAGATCAGTACAGGTTATAATGTTAAATAACCATCACTAGCCGGCTACAACCCGGTTACTGAACCCTGCACCTTTAGAGGCTGCTGCTCTATATACATAGACATGGAATCACTGGTCACTTTAATAATGTTTACATATTGCTTTACTCATTTAATGTATATACTGTATTCTATTCTACTGTATTTTAGTCAATGCCACTCCGACATTGCTCGATCTAATATTTATATATTTCTTAATCCCATTCTTTTACTTTTAGATTTGTGTGTATTGTTGTGAATTGTTAGATACTACTGCGCTGTTGGAGCTAGGAACACAAGCATTTCGCTCCACCCGCGATAACATCTGGTAAATATGTATATGTGACCAATAAAATGTGATTTGATTTAGTAAAGTCCTACGGGCCCTGGTCAAAAGTAGTGCACTAAATAGGGAATAGGGTGTAATTTGCGACTCGTCTCTAAATCTCACACTGGCCTGTTTGGTTTAGTGTACTCAAATGTTTGTTTGTTTATGTAGAGATCAGTGAGTGTTTGTCCCAGCCCTGTCTGAACGGAGGGACATGTAGGGACAGGGTGGCAGCCTGCCTGTGTGAGTGTGATGAAGGCTTCAGAAATATTGTCATCAGATTACAGATAAAAAAAAATTTTAAACTGGATGATTACTTCTTGGATTACTTTAAATTAAAAAAGTATGTTTGGGCAAATATACACATTTCTGTTTTCTCAACAACGTTCAATTCAGCATTGAAAAAAGGTGCAAGTTGAAGTTTGTTCCACCTGAGCGAGTCTGACCACAAGTCAGAGACCACTACGAAGACACACCTAATGATCACACCAAATGATGACCACCAGTCAGAGACCACTATGATGACACACCAAATGATGACCACCAATCAGAGACTACTATGATGACACACCAAATGATGACCACCAGTCAGAGACCTCTATGATGACACCAAATGATGACCACCAGTCAGAGACCACTATGATGACACACCAAATGATGACCACCAGTCAGAGACCACTATGATGACACACCAAATGATGACCACCAGTCAGAGACCACTATGATGACACACCAAATGATGACCACCAATCAGAGACCACTATGATGACACACCAAATGATGACCACCAGTCAGAGACCACTATGATGACACACCAAATGATGACCACCAATCAGAGACCACTATGATGACACACCTAATGATGACCACCAATCAGAGACCACTATGATGACACACCAAATGATGACCACCAGTCAGAGACCACTATGATGACACACCAAATGATGACCACCAGTCAGAGACCACTATGATGACACACCAAATGATGACCACCAATCAGAGACCACTATGATGACACACCAAATGATGACCACCAGTCAGAGACCACTATGATGACACACCAAATGATGACCACCAATCAGAGACCACTATGATGACACACCTAATGATGACCACCAATCAGAGACCACTATGATGACACACCAAATGATGACCACCAATCAGAGACCACTATGATGACACACCAAATTATGACCACCAATCAGAGACCACTATGATGACACACCAAATGATGACCACCAATCAGAGACCACTATGATGACACACCAAATGATGACCACCAATCAGAGACCACTATGATGACACACCTAATGATGACCACCAATCAAATACCTCTATGATGACACACCAAATGATGACCACCAGTCAGAGACCACTATGATGACACACCAAATGATGACCACCAATCAGAGACCACTATGATGACACACCAAATGATGACCACCAATCAGAGACCACTATAATGACACACCTAATGATGACCACCAATCAGAGACCACTATGATGACACACCAAATGATGACCACCAATCAGAGACCACTATGATGACACACCAAATGATGACCACCAATCAGAGACCACTATGATGACACACCTAATGATGACCACCAATCAGAGACTACTATGATGACACACCAAATGATGACCACCAATCAGAGACCACTATGATGACACACCAAATGATGACCACCAATCAGAGACCACTATAATGACACACCTAATGATGACCACCAATCAGAGACCACTATGATGACACACCAAATGATGACCACCAATCAGAGACCACTATGATGACACACCAAATGATGACCACCAATCAGAGACCACTATGATGACACACCTAATGATGACCACCAATCAGAGACTACTATGATGACACACCAAATGATGACCACCAATCAGAGACCACTATGATGACACACCAAATGATGACCACCAATCAGAGACCACTATGATGACACACCAAATGATGACCACCAATCAGAGACCACTATGATGACACACCTAATGATGACCACCAATCAGAGACCTCTATGATGACACACCAAATGATGACCACCAATCAGAGACCTCTATGATGACACACCAAATGTGTTTGATGGATCCTTTTTGTCCTCTTCTAATGCCTCTTAAGGGGAAAGTAATCCAAAAGTAACTGAAAGTAATCAGATTACGTTACTGAGTTTGGATAATCCAAAAGTTACGTTACTGATTACAATTTTGGACATGTAACTGATTACATTTAGAAAGTAACCTACCCAACCCTGTGTGTGTGTCTGTGCATGATTGTGTGTATGTTTATAAGTGTGTGTGTGTGTGTGTGTGTGTGTTTTTTCATATCCTCTCAGATGTGGATGAGTGTCTGTCGGAGCCCTGTAAACACGGCGGAACATGTGAGGATCAGCCTGGATCCTACTCCTGCCACTGCCAACAGGGCTTCATGGGACAAGACTGTGAGATTGGTACGGAACTCACTCTCTCTGGGGCCATATGCATCGAATGTCTCAGAGTGGCAGCGCTGATCCAGGATCAGGTCTCCCCTGTCCATGTATCTTTTAATTCATTATGATCTAAAAGTCAACACTGATCCAAAATCAGCACCTCCTATCGAGACGTTTGATACATACGTTCCCTGCTCTCATGTTTCTCAACTAATGGAGAAATAACCCTTAGTCTTGGGCTGGGTAGGAGCCTAGCGGTTAAAAGGTTGGGCCAGTAACCGAAAGGTCGCTGGTTCAAATCCCCAAGCTGACTAGGTGAAATCTGTTGATGTGCCCTTGAGCAAGGCACTTAACCCCTAATTGCTCAGGATAAGAGCGTCTGCTAAATGACTAAAATGTGTATCATTTTAAGGAGTTTTTTTATACTTAGGTACACTATAGGCCCATATAATATCAGCTGTATTTCCAGTTGTATCCCTCCAGTGACTGAGTGTTGTCTCTCCAGAGAAGGACAGGTGTGAGTCCAACCCCTGTCTGAACGGCGGTGTGTGTCGAGGCTACAGGAAGAACCACCTGTGTGTCTGTAAAGAAGGGTTCTTTGGGGACCACTGCCAGTCACGTGAGTAGAGCTACACCGGTGGCGTCTGAAATGGCACCCTATTCCCTGTACAGTGCACTACTGTTGACCAGGGCCTATGTAGGGAATAGGGTGCCATTTCAGTGGAGGCTGGTGAGGGGAGGACGGCTCATAATCCCGTGTAGCTCAGTTGGTAGAACATGGCTCTTGCAACGCCAGGGTTGTGGGTTCGATTCCCCAGGGGGGGGGTCAGTATGAAAAAAAATGAAAAAAAAGTATGCACTGGATAAGATGGTCTGTTAAATGACTCAAATGTAAAATGTGAAATGGAACAGAGAGAATGGAACGGCATCAAAACAGCTGGAAACCATGGAAACCACGTGTTTGATGTATTCGATACCATTCCACCGATTCTACTCCAGACATTACCACGAGCCCGTCCTCCCCAAATGAAGGCGCCACCAACCTCCTGTGGTGCCATTTGGGGACGCAGTCTCTTGTAACAGAACATCACATCATGGTGATGGCTGGTCTCTGTCTCCCCCTAGTGGAGAATCCCTGTGTACTGCAGCCGTGTGGGAACAGAGGCCTCTGCCATAGCAACAGGAGAGGGAACTACTGCTGTGCATGCAGAGTGGGACACACAGGCAAGGACTGTGAGAGAGGTGAGAGTCAATCGCGTTCAGCTATCTTATCTACTATCAATTATCTTATTGGTGTTTGATTCAAGAAACCCGTAAAATTCAATAGAAAATCAATAAATTAATTAATCAATTAATCAATTTACCAAGTCTATTCTTTGTGGTAGAAATAACCAATTCTACGTTACCACTGTTCCCAGACCTGTTGCCTCCCTCTGGTCTGCGTGTCCTACTGGTGGAGGAGGATGAGGTGGTGCTGCGCTGGGACCTGCCGGACCCCTCCTCTCAGAGCCTGGTCAGTTTAATTCATACGTTACTTATTTAACCCATTGAGGTCAGAATACCTCTTTCACCAGGGAGACCAGAGCGCTATACTACAAAGCTAGATCAATGAGTTAGACAGATTACTTTTGATAAGCGATTCATTACACCGTGCACATTTCAAGCTTATTTTAAAGAATATATATATATATATGTTGTTTTAGAATATTCAGACAAGTCAGCTGGCTAACTCATTTTATCCTAACTTGTGGTACAGGCTCTAGTCAAAAGTAGTGCACTATATAGGGAATAGGGTGCCATTTGGGACACAGCATGAAACCTTTAACCTTGAATACCTATTCATGGGTTGCACCTCCATCACTCGGTTGCGTCGTTGCCATTGTTACTGTATCAACATTCTACAGATGCCGCAGCATGTCTTCCTGAACGGGGGGCTGACTGTTTCTTCACAATTACACTACCTGGGAACGAAATGACATTGCTAAAGTCGACAAATAATTAGCAGAAAACAACTTTGCCGTCATTGTGATGTCGTCAAGTTTACTTTAGAGAGATTGCAATGTTGCCATGAGCTAGCAAAGTTTTTTTCAGAAATAGCTAGCAATGCTAACGTTAGCTAGCTAAAATATCAGTGCTCTCCCCTCAATCTTAGATACAGTTGAAGTCGGAAGTTTACATACACTTAGGTTGGAGTCATTAAAACTCGTTTTTCAACCACTCCACAAATTTCTTGTTAACAAACTATAGTTTTGGCAAGTTGGTTAGGACATCTACTTTGTGCATGACACAAGTAATTTTTCCAACAATTGTTTACAGACAGATTATTTCTCTTAAAATTCACTGTATCACAAGTCCAGTGGGTCAGAAGTTTACATACACTAAGTTGACTGTGCCTTTAAACAGCTTAGAAAATTCCAGAAAATGATGTAATGGCTTTAGAAGCTTCTGATAGGCTAATTGACATCATTTGAGTCAATTGGAGGTGTACCTGTGGATGTATTTCAAGGCCTACCTTCAAACTCAGTGTCTCTTTGCTTGACATCATGGGAAAATCAAAAGAAATCAGCCAATAAAATAATTGTAGACCTCCATAAGTCTGGTTCATCCTTGGGAGCAATTTCCAAACACCTGAAGGTACCACGTTCATCTGTACAAACAATAGTACGCAAGTATAAACACCATGGGACCACGCAGCCGTCATACCGCTCAGGAAGGAGACGTGTTCTGTCTCCTAGAGATGAACGTAATTTGGTGCGAAAAGTGCAAATCAATCCCAGAACAACAGCAAAGGACCTTGTGAAGATGCTGGAGGAAACAGGTACAAAAGTATCTATTTCCACAGTAAAACGAGTCCTATATCGACATAACCTGAAAGGCCGCTCAGCAAGGAAGAAGCCACTGCTCCAAAACCGCCATAAAAAAGCCAGACTATGATTTACAACTGCACATGGGGACAAAGATACTTTTTGAAGAAATGTCCTCTGGTCTGATGAAACACAAATAGAACTGTTTGGCCATAATGACCATCGTTATGTTTGGAGGAAAAAGGGGGTTGCTTGCAAGCCGAAGAACACCATCCCAACCGTGCAGCACGGGGGTGGCAGCGTCATGCTGTGGGGGTGCTTTGCTGCAAGAGGGACTGGTGCACTTCACAAAATAGATGGCATCATGAGGAAGGACAATTATGTGGATATATTGAAGCAACATCAGTCAGGAAGTTAAAGCTTGGTCGCAAATGGGTCTTCCAAATGGACAATGACCCTGAGCATACTTCCAAAGTTGTGGCAAAATGGCTTATGGACAACAAAGTCAAGGTATTGGAGTGGCCATCACAAAGCCCTGACCTCAATCCTATAGAACATTTGTGGGCAGAACTGAAAAAGCATGTGCGAGCAAGGAGGCCTACAAACCTGACTCAGTTACACCAGCTCTGTCAGGAGGAATGGGCCAAAATTCACCCAACTTATTGTGGGAAGCTTGTGGAAGGCTACCCGAAATGTTTGACCCAAGTTAAACAATTTAAAGGCATTGCTACCAAATACTAATTGAGCGTATGTAAACTTCTGACCCACTGGGAATGTGATGAAAGAAATAAAAGCTGAAATAAATCATTCTCTCTACTATTATTCTGACATGTCACATTCTTAAAATAAAGTGGTGATCCTAACTGACCTAAGACAGGGAATTTTTACTAGGATTAAATGTCAGGAATTGTGAAAAACAGAGTTTAAATGTATTTGGCTAAGGTGTATGTAAACTTCCGACTTCAACTGTAGTTAACTAAAGTTACACTGCCTCGAAAATCAACCTGGCGACATTTGAAATATAATCGTGTTTCCAAGCCACAGTAATGCACTTCAGCACCTATTGAGACTGCATTGAGTAGAAAGCTCTCCTGGGCTTCAGTCCTTAAAACGAACGTTCAAAACAATATTGTGACGAAACGTGCAACCCATGAATAGATCAGTGGCTTCGCTGTGACCTACGCCCCTCTGGATCTCCTGGACCGCGGCAGTGGAACCAGGAAGACTGACTTCCTGGATAAGAAGCAGTCCACCTATCAGCTGCAGGGCCTGGTGCCTGGCCTGCTCTACAACATCTCTACCTTCTCTGTGAAACGAAACACCAACAGCAACGATATCAGCCAGCCAGCCGTCGCACTCATACGCACCAGTGAGTGGACTGTGAATGCTTCAGTGCAGTGACAATGTCACTGTTTTATGTATACAGTAGTTTAGAATATGTGGACTATTTGATATCTGTGTAACTCACCTGTGTGTGTGTGTGTGTGTGTGTGTGTGTGTGTGTGTGTGTGTGTGTGTGTGTGTGTGTGCGTGTGTGTGTGTGGGTGTGGGTGTGTGTGCGTGTGTATACTGACCTGTGTGTGTGTGCGTGCGTGCGTGCGTGTGTGTGTGTGTGTGCGTGCGTGCGTGCGTGCGTGTGTGTGTGTGCGTGTGGGTGTGGGTGTGTGTGCGTGCGCGTGCGTGTGTGTGTGCGTGTGTATACTGACCTGTGTGTGTGTGTGTGTGTGTGTGTGTGTGTGTGTGTGTGTGTGTGTGTGTGTGTGTGTGTGTGTGTGTGTGTGTGTGCGTGTGTATACTGACCTGTGTGTGTGTGTGTGTGTGTGTGTGTGTGTGTGTGTATACTGACCTGTGTGTGTGTGTGTGTGTGTGTGTGTGTGTGCGTGTGTATACTGACCTGTGTGTGTGGTGTGTGTGTGTGTGTGTGTGTGTGTGTGTGTGTGTGTGTGTGTGTGTGCGTGTGTGCGTGTGTGCGTGTGTGCGTGCGTGCGTGTGTATACTGACCTGTGTGTCTCTCTCTGTGTCAGGGCCGCGGCGGGCTGATCAGCTGCAGGTAGTTAACGTATCGTCCTCCCAGGTATGGCTGAGGTGGCTGGTTCAGGCTTCTCATCATGCTACTGTCAGCCAGGTGCGCCTCTCCCTGGTCCCCTGGGACGGTAGTGGAGTTCGCACCGCCCTGCTCAACACCAGCACCATGGAATATGCCTTCAGGTTCTGCTCCATTCAACACCATTATCACTAGGTTGGCTGTGGATTTGAGTGGTTCTTGGTCTGTCCACAGGGGACTTGGAAAGACTCATGAGACCATAGGCCTACTGGTCTAATGCCCATGAGGGGGTAGTCTGGGCAGAGCATGATGTATTTGGTGGTAGTGACCCAAAAAGAGTTGAGAACCACTGACTTACAGCCTGCAATACTGATTATGTTCACTAGATGCCACTGTATAACTATCACATAGTATTACTTTCTAGATCAGTGGTTCCCAACCTTTTTCGGTTACTGTTCCACCAACTGAATTTTGCTCTGCCCAGAGTACCTCTGAAGTACCCCCTCTTGCATTTTACCAGTAGGCCTATGGTCTCAAGAGTCTTCTCAATAATCCCCTGTGGATAGGCCAAGTACCCCCAGGGTTCCTAGTACCCCTGCTTGAGAACCACTGTTCTAGGGCACTGTCTGCACCGCAATACACATGTTTATCCAGTAGAAGGCGCTGTGAAGCCAATGCTGATAAATCTCCATAGACCATAGCAGGTGAGATGATGTTAGTTTTTTGAGTCATTTTGCATGACTGGGATTTCTGTCTGTGTGTGTTTCTTCCCTCCTCAGCTCTCTGCTCCCTGGTCAGATGTACACAGTGGATGTTCTAACTCAGAGCGGGATCAGACCAGACGAGTTACCCTCCACCAGTCACTCTGCTGGGCCGCTGCAAGTCTGGACCCGTATGTCATCATGTCTCATACATCAATCAATCAATCAGTCAGTCAGTCAGTCAATCAATCAAACAGTTTTTTTTATAAAGCCCTTTTTTACATCAGCAGTTGTTACAAAGTGCTTTACAGATACCCAGCCAAAAAACCCAGATAGCCAGCAAGGCCGAAGCAGACACTCAATGAACCTCAGGAATTCACTATGCATTCGTTAAGCATCTGGAAACATCCCCATCCTAACATAGATAGTCTTGTCTCCATCGCAGAGGGATTCATTATTAATTAATTCACCTGAGACAAGACACTTAAAGATGACCACTCTTATTAGAAAATGTGATCAGGATCAACTGTCAGGATCAGGATCAACTGTCAGGATCAGGATCAACTGTCAGGATCAGGATCAACTGTCACGATCAGGATCAACTGTCAGGATCAGGATCAACTGTCACGATCAAGATCAACTGTCACGATCAGGATCAACTGTCACAATCAAGATCAACTGTCAGGATCAGGATCAACTGTCAGGATCAGGATCAACTGTCAGGATCAGGATCAACTGTCACGATCAACTGTCAGGATCAGGATCAACTGTCATGATCAGGATCAACTGTCAGGATCAGGATCAACTGTCAGGATCAAGATCAACTGTCACGATCAGGATCAACTGTCACGATCAGGATCAACTGTCACGATCAAGATCAACTGTCACGATCAGGGTCAACTGTCACGATCAGGATCAACTGTCAGGATCAGGATCAACTGTCAGGATCAGGATCAACTGTCACGATCAACTGTCAGGATCAGGATCAACTGTCATGATCAGGATCAACTGTCAGGATCAGGATCAACTGTCAGGATCAAGATCAACTGTCACGATCAGGATCAACTGTCACGATCAGGATCAACTGTCACGATCAAGATCAACTGTCACGATCAGGGTCAACTGTCACGATCAGGATCAACTCTCAGGATCAGGATCAACTCTCAGGATCAGGATCAACTGTCAGGATCAGGATAAACTGTCAGGATCAGGATCAACTGTCAGGATCAGGATCAACTGTCACGATCAGGATCAACTGTCAGGATCAAGATCAACTGTCAGGATCAGGATCAACTGTCAGGATCAGGATCAACTGTCAGGATCAGGATCAACTCTCAGGATCAGGATCAACTGTCAGGATCAGGATCAACTGTCACGATCAGGATCAACTGTCAGGATCAAGATCAACTGTCAGGATCAGGATCAACTGTCAGGATCAAGATCAACTGTCACGATCAGGATCAACTGTCAGGATCAGGATCAACTGTCACGATCAAGATAAAATAATAATAATAATATGCCATTTAGCAGACGCTTTTATCCAAAGCGACTTACAGTCGTGCGTGCATACATTTTTTGTGTATGGGTGGTCCCGGGGATCGAACCCACTACCTTGGCGTTACAAGCGATCATCTGTCACGATCAAGATCAACTGTCAGGATCAGGATCAACTGTCAGGATCAAGATCAACTGTCAGGATCAGGATCAACTGTCAGGATCAGGATCAACTGTCAGGATCAGGATCAACTGTCACGATCAGGATCTACTCTCAGGATCAGGATCAACTGGCACTTTAATTTACATGACTGATCAAAACTAGTTTTCTCATGGCTCTCTCTTATCTCTCTGCAGCTGACATGGTGAGCAATATGTTTGGAACGTCGAATCGCAATAAAATCACAGTATCGAATCGCAATACATATTTATAGGTTGCGCTTCCGTCATTTGGTCGCGTCGTGCCGTTGTATTGAACGTTCTCAAGCTGCTCTCTACCGGCGGCACCATAGTGGTGCCCTGAAGGGGTGATACGACCAGTCATTCTGGACGGAGGCTGACTACTGTTTAGTCCAAATTCCACTATAGTGCCTGGAAATACCATGACGTTACTAAAGGAGTCAAATATTTAGTAGGAAACAACTTTGCCAGCATTATCATGTCGTCAAATTTACTTTACATCAAAATGATAACTAAAGGTTTTCCTAATAATTATTTGCCTCCTTATGAATGGCATTGTATTTCCAAGCCACTGTAATTCAATTTGGAAGAAATCTTCATCCGCTCTCATTGATGATGCATTGAGTAGAACGCTCAGTCAGGCATCAGTCCAAAATGAACGTTCAGAACAATATTGTGACGAAACATGAAACCATGAATAGAATCATGAGAATCGTGAGAATCGTGAGAATCGTGAGAATCGTGAGAATCGTGAGAATCGTGAGAATCGTGAGAATCGCAATCCATCTAGTGATAATATCATAGGTCCCTGGCAATGTCCAGCCCTAAGGAATTCACATCTGTTGGCCGTATGTTGACCGTCTGTTGACCTTCTGTTTACCGTCTGTTGGCCGTATGTTGACCGTCTGTTGACCTTCTGTTTACCGTCTGTTGACCGTCTGTTGAGCGTCTGTTGAGCATCTGTTGACCGTCTGTTGACCATCTGTTGAGCATCTGTTGGCCGTCTGTTGACCGTCTGTTGAGCATCTGTTGACCGTCTGTTGACCATCTGTTGAGCATTCGTTGACCGTCTATTGTGCATCTGTTGACCGTCTGTTGCGCATCTGTTGACCGTCTGTTGACCGTCTGTTGAGCATCTGTTGACCGTCTGTTGAGCATTTGTTGACCGTCTGTTGACCATCTGTTGAGCATCTGTTGGCCGTCTGTTGACCGTCTGTTGAGCATCTGTTGACCGTCTGTTGACCATCTGTTGAGCATCCGTTGACCGTCTGTTGACCGTCTGTTGACCGTCTGTTGATCGTCCGTTGACCATCTGTTGACCATCTGTTGACCGTCTGTTGACCGTCTGTTGACCGTCTGTTGACCGTCTGTTGACCATCTGTTGAGCATCTGTTGGCCGTCTGTTGACCGTCTGTTGAGCATCTGTTGACCGTCTGTTGACCATCTGTTGAGCATCCGTTGACCGTCTGTTGACCGTCTGTTGACCGTCTGTTGACCGTCTGTTGGCCGTCTGTTGAGCATTTGTTGACCGTCTGTTGAGCATCTGTTGACCGTCTGTTGACCGTCTGTTGAGCATCTGCTGACCATCATCACACAAGACACAGTAGCTGCTCAATGCGATCAAGATCAACTGTCAGGAATCAAGATCAACTGTCTGCGATCAAGATCAACTGTCAGACTTGTATCACTGCATGCACACAAAGTTACAATGACCTAGGATCCTAGTATATTCCCTCACTGTGCTGGTGTAACACAGTTGGAAACGCATCCCTTGTTTATTGTGAGTTTCACCTAAATTGATCCAATCCTGAAAACTTTAACAATCTTGTCTTTATTCCTTCCATAGGGTCTAAACTAGAGGTTTTCACGGGTCCAAAAAGTTGGACCCGTTCTGAAATGGATCCGTGGCTTTAACACCAGACCCGATATGCATAAATACATTTTCTAAAAACCGAGACCCGTTCCGAATGGACCTGAGGACAGTCAGACCCAATTCTGAAAAGGACCGTGGAAAAACAGACACAAACAGACCCGTGCTGGTTCGGATCTGAGAGACCCGTTCAGATCCAAGAGTAGAAAGAGAGAGAGAAAGAAACCTACAACTTGGGCCGGCGCCATCAATAAACAAGACGTATTGGCCAAATAATCCACAGGTCCGTGTCCTTAAAAACTGCCTAGAACAAATTACCAAAAAAAAAACGATTTGTTGTGTTTTGTTGTGTAGGCTAGTATATGCAAAACTTTAGTCTATTGTTTTATTGGTTTTTTACTTTCCTAAAACAATAATTGTCCACCTCACGGTTCAGCTGTCGGAGAGTTGAGCGCTAAATTGCATCAGGGCATTGCATGCATATAGGGCTATAGGCGTCCACTGTATGAAATTCATATAAAAACATATATATTAAGGCAGACAAGCATCGTCCTCGCCCTAGAAAGAGAGAGAAAGATATAGAAAGGCCGGTGACGTGTTCCCAACGTCAACATGGACGTCTTTATCCCTGTCAGATAGGCTACTACTGCTATACAGAAATAGGCGTACAGAAGGAGGCAAATTCTTACATTTTCTATCAGAATATATTTTATAAAGATAAGCATTATATTGTTAGATTAAAGGAGTGACTCTGGTAGGCCTGAAACACTCTTCCTCACCTCAAGTCCAACTGTGGGAGTGAGTTGGAGCGCCGGTGCGTACCGCTTTCATTGGCCTGCAGTAGCTAACCCTAATAATAGTAACACCTCACCAAACCTTCACAAGAGTTGCTTAACTTTATTAAGGTCATATCAAAAGTCAAGTCATTGTTTGAACAGTCCAGGTCTATATTGCGGCTGTTCCCAACAAAGGCGATTGCCTACCTTCAGGCCTACCCAACACATGACAGCAATAGGCTAATGCTCTTTATTTAACAGGCCTGCTTGTAACCTTAAACTGAATACGGAGCACAAAATTAAAAAGAAAATGTATCAATATAATGAAATGAAACACTTTTTGCATAGGCTATTAAAATAACTGTTTTAGATTATTAAATAGGCCTACAATAAAAATAATAATAATAATAATAATAATAATAATAATAATAATAATAATAATTATATTTATATTTATATTTATAATAATTAATATTATTATTATTATTATTATTATAACAATAATAATTATTATTATTATTATTATTATTATTATTATTATTATTATAATTATAATAATTATAATAATTATAATAATTATAATAATAATGGTTTACAATAATAATAATGAAAAAAACCATTCATAATACGAAAATAAATAATAAAAGGTAGAAAATGAAATCAAACCTGAATAGCGAGTTGCTCCATCTGGCTTCACCGACGTTCTTCTCTTTCTCCACTATAATATAAAAACGTGTCCTCGAGGACGTTCCCCTCGTCGGCTTCTGTTCACTCTTTCTCCTCTAACTTTAGTTTTGCTTCGATGAAAAGGCCAAGGCTTCTCTCTCTCTCTCCCCCCTCAGCAGCACGTGAGGTGAGCAGCCAGTAACAGTTTCAGCTGGACGTTTTAATGAGCTGCAATTGGCTGACACGGATAACGAGCTCGCACAGTTCTCATCACACAAACTAAATGAACAGAGTCGTCAGGTCCAGTCGGGTCCAGTCGGGTCCAGTCGTGTCCCATTGGGGTCCAGTCGGTAAATCAATTTTAATTGCACATACCCGAGACCTTTGGCAATTATGTCAGACCCGAATCAGATCCGAGACAAAAGTCTGAATTTAGGACCCGGAGCTGGGTTCTGTAGGACCTCTAGTCTGTTTCTATCAGCAGACAGACAGACTGTCCTCTCTGTGCCCCCCCCCCCTCCCCTAGGACCCCTCCCCCCTCAGAACCTGTCTCTGTCCCATGTGACCTCCAACTCTGCCCAGGTGACGTGGGACCGCCACCCCAGGAACCTGCCAGACGGCTTCGTGGTCAATGTGACGCGAGGCCTGAGCACCCGGAGTCGCTTCCTACCCAATGGGAAACTGCGGACGTACACCCTGAGAGAGCTTTCCCCGGGGCAGCACTACCACCTAGCCCTCGTGGCTGTCAGGAAGACAGGACAGGAACAGATCCACAGTGTACCACAACACCTGGCCTTCACCACGTGTGAGTGCTCTGCTCCCACCCCGTGCCACAGGCTACTGCTCTACACATGACTTCTGCTTAGAGCCCAGAATGAGACAGGAACCAACTCGAAACGTCTACCATCTAGGACTGTCGTTTTGACTGGTTTCAGTCTGAAAGCTTTCCTTTACCGCTACCTATGCAACTAACTTTTTAAACTTTTTCTGGACCAGTGCCGATGGAGGAGCGATGGGGAGGGAGGACGAGGGAGAGCCAGGGAACCCTAGCCCCGTCTGAACCCCAGGACCTGGGGGTGGCTGCAGAGAGAGAGAACTCTGAAGAGATGCCCAGGTGAGTGAGTGAGTGAGTGAGTGAGTGAGTGAGTGAGTGAGTGAGTGAGTGAGTGAGTGAGTGAGTGAGTGAGTGAGTGAGTGAGTGAGTGAGTGAGTGAGTGAGTGAGTGAGTGAGTGATTGGGGGTTAGGTTATTAAGACTGTGAGACATTAGAGCACAGTGTTACACTGCTGAGTTGTAACCGGACTATTTAGTGCTAACTAGACAAGGTTGGTTCTCTCAAGCTCTACCTGTCTGTCTCTGTTTAAGCTTCGGACATCTTTTGTTCTCTTCCAGATACACAGAACTGATTGATGGAAGGGGGAGGATAACTGCTAAGTTCACTAGCCTGCCCAGGAAGACCCTCAGACACCGCACTAGTAAGTACTGTCATAACCCCCGTATGGCACAATGCAAAACAGCATCTTTAACTATGGGCAGTCAGCGTGATGGTGTGAACTTTGTGCATGCCAGTATATCTACCTCTTAGAAACAGTAATATTCTTGCCTTGCAGAGCCTGAGCCTCCTATTCAGTTAGAGAGGAGGGAGGAGACAACGAATAGAATCAGCCTTGCACTAGAGAGGAGGGAGGAAGAGGAAGGTTACAGGCCTGGTAGGTTCTGTGTTCTCTGCAGCAGGACAGATAATCAACGAGAAATTGGCTGTAGGGCTCTGGTCACACTTTCTGTTTGAATGAAGAGCGGAAGTCCTTGCCTGTGTCCCAAATGGCACCCTATTCCCTACATAGTGCACTAATTAACAGGGCTCTGGTCAAAAGTAGTCCACTATATAGATAAAAGGGTGCCATTTGGGACGTATTTAGCCTTAGTGAAACCTGAGCTGGTGGTTTGTCTGCCGGGATCTCTCTGCTCGGGGTCCTGACAGCAGCTGCTGTGTTTCAGAGTCGTCCCGGGACTGCCAGAGTCTGCCTTGCCTGAACGGGGGTACGTGTGCGAAGGGGAGCGACTCATACATCTGCGATTGCGCAGCCGGGTTCAAGGGCAGGCAGTGTGAGCTGTGTGAGTTTATGACTTTACCACTCCCCTCCCCTCCCTCCCCCTCCCCCCACCCCTCCCCCCACCCTCCCCACCCCTCCCCTCCCCATCCCTACCCCCCCCCCACCCACCCCACCCCTCCCCTCCCTCCCCTCCCCTCCCCACCCCACCCCACCCCTCCCCTCCCCTCCCCTCCCCACCCCACCCCACCCCACCCCTCCCCTTCAATTCACAGCACTATAACAGTAGAGCAACATCCTCAAATAAAAACAGCTCAGATGTGTTATAACATATTCGAAGAAGAATCCTTTCTAATAGCAGGTACAAAACACTTCAGATAGAAATAGGATTTTTACAGTTTAAGAGATTTCCTTTTTTTGGTTTCAACATGTTCACAAGGTATTAATGCCACCACTTTCTCTTAATGCATTTCCTCACCCAAACACCCCCAGTCAGACTCTGTTTAAACATTCCTTTCCTAAACATCACCGGAGACCAATTCCCCCTTTCTCCTTCATGTCTACATCCTCTCTCTTTCCTCTTCTTAATCCCCCTCTCTATCTCTTTCCCCTCCCTCTCCTCTCTGTCCTTCTCTCTGACTCTCTCTCTGCTCTCTCGATCTCTTTCCACCTCTTCTTCTCTCTGTCCTATCCTCCTCTTCATAATTATCTCTCGTCCTCTCTCATCTCCTGTCCTCTTTCTATCTCTCTCTCTCCCTCTGTCTCTCTCTCGTCTCTCTCTCTCTCTCCCTGCCCTTCTTCTCTTCCTCTCTCTCTCTCTACAATCTTCCACCCTGTCCTCTCTCTCTTCTCTCTGTCTCTCTTCTCCTCTCCTCTTCTACTCTGCTTCTCTCTCTCCTCTCGCCTCCTCTTCTCATCTTGTCTCTCTCTCTTCCTCCCTCCCTGCCTCTCCTCTCTCCCTCTTCTCTC